CATTAAGAATGCAATGGGCGCTAGTGATGCAACTCAAGAGTACGAAATTTCACAATACCAATGTCGATCGATCGGAATTGGATTTAAGAATAAGCGCCCAGAATAGCAAAACTCAATACCATTTAGTTCATTCAATATCCACGCAATACGGATGCAATGGCACAATATTAAAGTCGATCGATCGGAATTGGATTCAAGAGTAAGTCAGGACCTGTGAATGCGAACCAACACAACTTGCAAATTGATTAAGTAAATCAATCTATTAAACGATGTCTCTTCACTCCTTAATTAAGCAAATAAGGCTACAATAACATAGCAAACATTCAATAAATTAACAATTACACGTAATTTTAAAACAACTATAATTAAACTAGGTAGGCAAAACAATTACTAATCTATACATTTTAATGATAAAACACAACAAGTATATTTTATTATTATATAAGTTTCGTGAGGTGTACTAAATTAATTATTATGTTTGTCGCGGGATGGTGCTCATGCATATGAGCTCTTAGTGTTGCTTGAAAGTAGTCGAGTAACTCGCCAAACTGCCCTATTCAGAGACGTTTAGATAATGACTCTTTAAACCATTACTTAGCTAAGATTTTGTTAGTAAAACAATTGGGATGATGACAGGGTATGAAAATTAAAAATATAATTAGTCTGCAAGTTAGGTAATGAAAAAATATTAGACACGTTTTATTTTGTCGTATAATAAAACAATACTTATATAAAACGAATCAAAGTTTAAGAGAGGGGGCTAAAACGTCATTTCTATGTATAAAATGTACATAGAAGTGACGTCACGCGACATTTCAAATCAATATATCGTCGAAAGTATTCGTTTCTGTAAGAAAATAAAAAATACATGTCTAATGATTTAAAATAATCTACCAGACGGACATTAAAATAAAAATTAGGCATCTACCCTATTGCTAGGGTTTGGGTTAAGTAGCCATCGAATGAATCTGAGTGTAGCTGTTAGACGTTAACCATAATAATTAATTAAGCATATTATATAGATCTTTAAATTAACATCAAAAATTTGTGACTATTTATAAGACCTAAACAGTTTTTGCTTGACCTATTAAAAAGTTCAAAAGTTCGTATAAAAACTTAAGAACTCACAAATAGGTTTACAAACTAGGGGTGTCATTAATAAAGTATTTATTTTATTATATATCTTTATAATAGCAACACATTGAAGACATTTTTTATACAAATAACTTACAATATTCGTATTAAAAATAAGTCGAAACATATATTTATACATCAAGGGTTTAAATTTCATTTTTTGTTGAATTAGACTTAAAAGGTAGAGATTTTGACGATTTTTTGGCTTCTATTGAATTTGTAAACTAAAATTTATTTTGGTAATCCATTGTCGGACCTGAATCGTACTTTTTGACCTTTTATTCACTCTAATCATTTGAAAAAGTGCTAAAATTAGAGGCCTTATGTTAAACAACTACCGTTTAGGGAGTAGGTAATTATAAGTTATGGATATTGGGACAAATTAACATGTTTTTTGGCGAAATAATGTGTCATATTTTTTACTCCATATACACACGTGCAATGCTTAACAAATACGTCGTCAATGACATCCTATAGAAGCAACCTGCACCTAACAGCTTCTTGCACCCTTTACCTGCGTGCTTACTCTTGAAACCAATCTCAATGTCAATGCAATTTCAATCCAATAAAATCTCAATATTTATTCAATGTCAAAACTTCACAACCCCAATCGTAGCTGTTACAATAGCATTCAGAGTACGGAATATAAAGCCAAACTCAATATCATTTAGTTCATTCAATATCCACGCAATACGAATGCAATGGGCGCTAGTCTTGTAACTCAAGAGTACGAAATTTCACAATACCAATGTCGATTGATCAGAATTGGATTCAAGAGTAAGCCCCCAGGTCGTTAGTTCAACTCATGGATGGGTTGTGTATCTTGCAATGCGCTTGATGGAGAAATCATACCTGTGCAGTGCTATTTCATTTGTGCTACTACCATCGTCTCTAGGACCTTCCCCAAGACTAGCAAGAGACCTGTAATCATCTAAAGGCCGGCAACGCACCTGTAACTCATCTGGTGTTGCGGGTGTCCATGGGCGGCGCTGATCTCTTACCATCAGGTGATCTGATTGCTCGTTTGCCTCCTATTCCATAAAAAAATCTATTTTTCTCAAAATTGAGGCGAGAATACAATGACGAACTATGTAAAACATATTATCCTTTTAAGTCTAACTCACAAAACTGATATAAGTATAGTGGTATAAAATTTTACAATATCCATTATTTTTTAATATAAATTCAACTTTTTGATATACACAGTAATTTTATTCAACACTTTGTTATAATTAGAGCGGTTTTAGAAATATTTTTGGCGTTTCAATCTTATATTGATAATGATTGTGAACCTCGCTACCATTAGTTGACTGGGCATCTACACTACACGAGTCACTGTTTACATGTGAACATTAGCTCATGGAGATACTAGCGTACGCGTGTCACTGGACAGTGAACCACGCTACCATCAGTTGACTGGACATCTATACTACACGAGTCACTGTTTACATGTGAACATTAGCTCATGGAGATACTAGCGTACGCGGGCACTGGATAGTGAACCACGCTACCATCAGTTGACTCGACATCTACACTACATGAATCACTGTTTACATGTGAACTTCTCCTATAGCTCATGGAGATACCAGCGTATGTATATTTCTAGATAGCGAATCTTGCTACCATCAGTTGACTGGACAATCATAGGTATACACGAAAGTAAGATTTTTAAATTGTTCAATATTTTAAAAGTCAAATAAAATTGAAACGCCTTTATTTAAAATGACTTTGGAGAAAGTGGTATATAGTTGATAATTTTGATACGAACAGCTACATATTCTTTGATTCAATACTTAATTTTAGGGGTGTTATGACTTCAGTGAAGCCTTTTATAGCATGGATTACGTATGATTCTATATTTATCATCGTTTGTCAAACTACATATTAAATATTTGGCAATTATATTAAATCCCCTATCTTTACTACACTTTTCATCAAAGGTACACACAAAATATCAGGCCTTATAAACATTTACTACGGGGTGTACCTCAGGGTAGTATTTTAGGGCCAACTCTAAATGTTTCGCTTACCACCTTCTCCAAAATAAAATTCTTGGCAATATTAATTTTCCATTAATTTATATTTTAACTGGACTTCTAGATTATTGATATTTTTTCAAGATATGCATGTAGGTAGTAGTATAGGATAGTATGTATAAGAACGAAGTTACTTTACTTTAGATATGGATTAAGGACCTATGCTTTAATATGTTAGATGAACTATCAATTTAAGTCAACTTTAAGTATGGGAGAGCAATTCGGGACGAATGGGCCGGCTCGACTGGAGTGATACCACGGCCTCACAGAAAACGACGTGGAACAACGCTTGCATTGTGTTTCGTCATGTGAGTGAGGTTACCGGAGGCCCATTTACAGGGAGTAAATAAACTCCTCAATCCCTGAATCCCCAACAATATTCAAGTGCCTATTCCTCAAAAGATCGGTAACGCACTTGTAAAGCCTCTGGTATTCTGAGTGTCTAAAGGTGATCCGTCTGCTCGTTTATAGGCTTATCCCACATATTTGATGATGATGCTGTTATATATAGATAGGTTTTTTTAATGACAATGACGATATACAGCTGAAATGACTTATAGTATCAAGCTGTATGACATGAATGTATTTTCTAAGAGAGATGTTCATGAAATTGTACAGGAATTTTACGTATTATTATGACGAAGATTCTTAAGACGACACAATATACATTTAGAAAAAGTCCAGTTAAATTATAACCAAACAGAATTACAATAAGAGTTACAACTATTAAAATCCTATTCATATAATGTTATTATTATAATTTTATAATAAAATTTATTTATATTATTATTTTTTTTATAAAATCTCACTATTTTGTTGCGTATCACTAAAAAGTGACAGATTATAATCTAACCATTAAAGGTGGAAACATACTGTTGATATCCTAATGCAACCAGTGGTGAACTAGAAGTAAGAGACATTGTCAACGAAATGGCAACTTTAAATCAGCCTATTGTTTGTGAAAGATGCATGCATTCGACGGACATTAGACGGGCATATACTGACCAGAAGGGCCAAAGTAAAAGTACCCTTAACCGACGAGCATGCATAAAAAGATTGATGACTGTTGATGAATCGAAAGAGGTATGTAGGAATCGTAGCAATTGACGTTCCGTAATCGCTCATCCCTATGGGAGACAGGTGTGAAGTTATGTAAGTTTTGCGCTGCGACGCACCATGGGCTTTTTTTGTGTTTCTAACATCTTGTTGTGTGTCGTAGCAAAATAAATGGTTTTTCTTTCTTTCTTTCTTTCTTTCATTCGTCAAATGACCAAACTTGGACACAAACCCTAATTAAATTAAGTGTATGGGTGCTGTTAAAAGTATGATAGCTCCAATCCAAATGGCGCACAACGGCCCTGGATATGACATTCAACGGAGATAATTATTTTCTTGCCCGTCTACCGAATACCTTGAGTAACTGCATACCATATGTTTGTTTTGCTGTCGTTCTACGCGTGTAATAATTACGATAAGATACCTCGTGTACGAAATGAGTGCCTGATGCTAGCTTTTTTGACTAATTCCGTCGCCTTAACTTTAAATACTATTTGTAGCGCGACGAGGAGCGGCAAGAAAAGAGCGTATTCCTTTTTTAAAAGGCCACGCAGCTGTGGCTCCTCTTGTTTTGCGGGTGTTTATGGGCGGCGCTGATCGCTTACCATCAGGTGATGCATCTGCTCATTAGCCTCCTATTCCATAAAACAACTGCCCACCGTCAGTTTGGTGTTTTATTTATTTATTAACTTTTTTATTTTCATTTCAACTTCAAAAAAAGGAGGAGGTTCTCAATTCGACCGTATATACCTTTTTTTTTATTATTTGTGTTGTGTGTATGTCAACAGTATGTTTCCATCTCTAACATAGTTTAGTGCTTCGAATGATCCTTACATTTACAAAATGTCAACGTTAGCGACAATTTTAGAATTATGTTTGTTGTTTTCTGTATTCATTTCGTGTTAAATATAATTCTGACTAATTCTCTAGTTGAGTTCATTCTTTGTAATTGATATTTGCTTTATTCGTGTCTAGTTTCTTGTGTCAATTATTATGATATTCAATTTTTTTGTACTTTATCATCGAGTGTGTATTTATTTGCTTCTCACACGGACGTGTGCCTCACTTTCCCTTTAGGCGTTACAACGAATTCTTCCAAAGCCTCATCTACCTCACTGAGTACGAATTTCAAAGGACTCCGTTCATTGCCGACCCCAGAATTACCAATAGCTGTAACAATTTCTTCAGACTCCGTTTGATTTTTGCTCGCTTCAGCGCTAACTGCTAGTCTGTACCGTTCATTGATCTCAGCTATCTCTTCTGGTGAAGGACTCCATTGTTTCATGTCTCTGTCATCATCAATAACTTGACTGTCATCATCTTCGCTGATCTCCTTGATTTCGTCAAGACTTTTAGTCATTTTCCCTTCTTGGACACTGTCTGATATTTCGTCACCGTTTTTGGGTAATTCATTGTCTTTGTCGTTTGATTTTTCAACGACACCGTCGCCGCAGCCGACGTTTGCTTTGTCGTCGTCTTGTATATCTTCTACGTCGTCTAAACTTGCTTGTCCAGCTTTGTATTCTGGTCCATTACTGTCACTACCAGAAATAGTTTTAACTGGTTTCGTATTTTTAATTTTGTCTAATTGTTCTTCGCTTTCGTCGATAATTTCTAATCGAGACCTTGAGAAGAATTTATGCAATGATTCCAATTTATCCAAAGCTCTTGCACTTTTTTCTGAACTTGACGTGAGAGTTGTATCCTCCGTCATGCAAGCTGAATCGATTCTTCTCGACAAATCGGATATAGAATCCGATATTTCAGTTGTAGACGTTGATTTATCGACTTTCACGACTTTAGGTTTTATAATCATGCTTGGAGGTAAATCGGGAATATTGCGCAAATCGATTAAGCTAATCGATGATCGTTTTAAACTGGAACTTATATCGAATTCATCATCTGAATCCTCTTCTTCAAAATGCTTGGCTACTTTATCTTCTATGTAGTTCAGTAAATCTTCAGCAGCCTGTCTTATTTGTGTGTTTCTATCGTCTTTCTTATCAAGATCACGAGAAGATGGTTCATCTTCTTCTATTATGTCTGATAACTCTACACTGTATGGTAGATACTGTATGTAGGGTAGCATCGGAGGTTTAGTATAAGATTCATAGTTCTCTATATCTTCTTGATCAGTCATAGTGTCGTGCTCTTCTTCTAACTTCATTATTTCGCTGACTCTACTCACAGCTTCATCAAATATCATTTCTAGATCATTCTTTACATTACTTAGATCAACAACTGTTTCAGATATCCGTCTGTCTGTTGCATAATCCTCGCCTCTATCTATGACAGTGTCTTGAGTATGAGTAAGAGTCGAATCCGATTTAGTTTTACTAATATCACTAAACGTTTCAAGTTTACTTATAGTGATATCCGATTTTGATTTCTCAGACAGCGACGGTGTTAAAGATTTCGAATGAAATTTATCTTTCGTCGTGTAATTCTCCATGTACTTAATTAGCATTTCAACTAATGTTTCTGCCTCTTCTTCAGGCGTATCATCTATGTAAGAAAGGTCTTTAACGTTGATATTCGCTTCGCTGAGTCCTGGTTCGACGTCAACAATTTCTATACTAGGCTTCGGGTCTTCCGGACCGAATAGGAACTCCATAAGAGTTATTTTATTATCACCGACTTCATCTTCCTTCTCCATACACCCTGTAGTAGCTAAGAAGTCCATTAGAGTCTCCATTTTAGCCTCTAATTCAGTATTTATCTTACTGGGAACGAATTCCTTAGTTTCTTCAGGAGTGACCTCACTTTTGAAGCAACTCCCCCCACTGCCTTTTCTTTCCCCTCTCTGACTTTTGACTATAGTGAAGAAGAAGTCGATTAGATTAGCTATTCTCCTCTCAGTGCCTTCTTCTCCATCAGAGCTGAGGTCAGATTCTTCTTTGACAAGAGGGCAGCGTTTAGGAGATTCTTCAAACTTCTTAGAAAAGACAGTTTCTTGGATCACTTGGAGAAGATCTCTGGCAAGACGTACAGGGGATCTGGTGTCGGTATGTATCGCTTCGTAGGTAGATGCTGATGGGGCAGAGCGCCGTCTGTCCCGATCTATTCTGATGAAGTCCCACAAAGAGCCAAGTTCTGATGATAAGGAGGCTCTGTGGTTGGCTAAGCGGGTGCCTAGCCGCCGGAAGACCTGGAACGAGGATTAATACGATTAAACATATTGTACAGCAAATCAATTTCTTTTTCTACAAGTTAAACAAATCGCCTTGCGGTGACAATAAGGATAATGAATACCAAACTATATTTTATCCTTAGAAGGTTACGACCATGGATATGACGGATTTATTAAACGCTTATATCTATCATATCACACTCACTTTAATCATACTAACGTGGTACAAAAAGAAAAATAATACGCAAATAATTTTCTGTTTGAAATAATGAGTAACATATATTAACTAAAAATCGCGGGTTACTCACGTGAATATACTGACATACACTACTGACGTAGGCTGCGCGACATCGCCGCGACCGCGCACGCTGCTCATGAGGAAACCTCTCTATGGGTCGAAACTAGTAGAGCTTTTCTCAGTATATTCACGGGAGTAACCCGCGATTTTTAGTTAATTTAGTATGTCTCACGATAGTTATTATATAAACAATTAACTGGTGATTGAAAAATCGGCTCTAAGCCATTGAACCACTTGATTATCAAAGACCTGTAATGTTTTATGGGAAAACCGGTAAACGAACAGACGGATCACCTGATGGTAAGCAATCGGCGTCGCCCATGGACATCCGAAACACCAAAGGCGTTACAAGTGCGTTACCGGTCTTCTGGGGATTAGGAACTTGAGTCAAAGTCAAAGTCAAAAGTCAAAATCATTTATTTCAATTAGGCCAGAATGGCACTTTTGAACGTCAACAAACGGAGTATTGCTAGGGATTCGGGGACTGGGGAGATTGTAGATGGAGATAATTTGGTCTCCGGTAATTTAAACTGTCAAACACCGCGAGGACACTCGTGTCCGCACACCTATTGTTCTTTAATTGTGTCTATAATGACGGTACTCAACGAGTTAATTGTGTCTATAATGACGGTACTCAACGAGTTAAACTGTCAAACACCGCGAGGACACCGGTGACCGCAACCTATTGTTCTTTAATTGTGTCTATAATGACGGTACTCAACGAGTTAAACTGTCAAACACCGCGAGGACACCGGTGACCGCAACCTATTGTTCTTTAATTGTGTCTATAATGACGGTACTCAACGAGTTAAACTGTCAAACACCGCGAGGACACCGGTGACCGCAACCTATTGTTCTTTAATTGTGTCTATAATGACGGTACTCAACGAGTTAAACTGTCAAACACCGCGAGGACACCGGTGACCGCAACCTATTGTTCTTTAATTGTGTCTATAATGACGGTACTCAACGAGTTAAACTGTCAAACACCGCGAGGACACCGGTGACCGCAACCTATTGTTCTTTAATTGTGTCTATAATGACGGTACTCAACGAGTTAAACTGTCAAACACCGCGAGGACACCGGTGACCGCAACCTATTGTTCTTTAATTGTGTCTATAAATACTGTATTCAAAATGGTTAAAATGAGCTCAAATTAAATATTTTGACGTTGGTATTTACCTGCCACACTCAGGATCGCCACGCCCTGAGTTTCCGTAACGAGAGTCTCTTGAACCTTGCTACTTGCGCTGCGAGTGCTTCTGCCCCTGCTGACATGCCGGCGCCTCCCGTCTCGCCTTCAGAGTGGACCTGAGTGAGATTAAAAAAGGTTCAAGTAAGTTTTTCGGTTCATCCACTGTTTGGCGAGTTCACTTAACTAGTTTCATAATTGACTGCACGGTTGGTGCGGTGGCTGGGCAACCGGCTGCCGTGCAACGTGTCGCGGGTTCGATTCCCGCACGGAACAAAACTTTTTGTGATCCACAAATTGTTGTTTCGGGTCTGGGTGTGTGTGTATGTAAAATTGTATGTCTGTAAACGCCCACGACACAGGAAAAAATCCTAGTGTGGGGCAAAGTTTTTTTTTTAATTATACATACATACATACATAACATCACGCCTTTTATCCTCGAAGGGGTAGGCAGAGGTGTACATTATGCCACTGTACCATGTAACACCCACTTTTCACTATTTATGTTATAAGTCCCATGTAATAGGGGATGAGCCTATTGCCACATACCAGGCACAATTCCAGACTCCGTGCTACTACTGAGAATTTTGTAAAAACTCAGTTAGACTTTGCCCGACCCGGGAATCGAACCCGAGGCCCCTTGCCCGGCAGTCGCACTTGCGACCACTCGGTCAACGAGGCAGTCATTTAAATCACTTAACTAGTTTCATAATTATAAGTAGTATTGAGCTACAAACGACGAGGTGAATGTCATCCACTTACAGATTTAACTTAAGATAATGCAAAAACAATAAAACAGTAATTGAAGATCAATCTGTGGAAGTAAATGACTGTTTCTTAAGCTACCAAGCTCAAGCTACTGTGGCTCGATTCCCAGGTTATACAGAATATTAGGGCATTTACAATTTTAAAAACATATCTCAGTATTCAGCCTAGTGAATAACAATATACTGACCTATAAAGACTATAGTGAGACATACTAAATTAACTAAAACTCGCGGGTTACTCACGTGAATATACGTCACAGTAAGCTGCGCGACATCGCCGCGACCGCGCACGCTGCTCATGAGGAAGAACCCCTCTGTGGTTCGAAACTAGTAGAGCTTTTCTCAATAGTTATATTCACGTGAGTAACCCGCAATTTTTAGTTAAACTGTCAAACACCTCGAGGACACCGGTGACAGCAACCTATTGTTCTTTAATTGTGTCTATAATTACGGTACTCAAAAAGTTAATATGCTTACCCATAACCGGTGTCACATTAAATATTCTTCCTTCAGCGCCTTCAGGAATTAGGCTGGTTATAGTCTGACGCTGTCGGCACGCTGACCGTCAGCGCTGACAGCAGAGATTGTACTAACTTCTATGTAGCATTTTTTAATGACGCGTAGCTATCGGCGCGTCCCTAAAAGTGCATATCTCACGCCTGTCAGCGCCAACGGTCAGCGTGTGGTCAGTGCGACTCTGAAACCAGCCTTAGAAAAGTTGTGACCTTCTGTTATTACAGTCCATGCTTACCTCCCTCGAGCTGGTTCGTTTCTGCATGTAGCTCCGCATGTCCTTGTCAGAGTGGCCTTTTGCTCGTCCGATGCCTTTACCAAGAGGCGCTGTTGATACCCTCCTACAATTTCAAACAGTATTTTGTAATATAATGTAAAACTTAAAGGTGTCGTTTTTGCAGTGGATTTAAACGACAGAAATTTTTAAGTTAAAGTCAAAATATTTACTAATTCCTCCAAGTTCTAAGTTTCAATTGGAGTTAGCTGATTCCTTTTTTTTATAGCATAACTCGTTAACGAGCTGACGGATCACCTGATGGTAAGCAATCGGCACCGCCCATGGACACCTGGAACGCCAAGGCGTTACAAGTCCAAACAGAACGCAAGCGTTGTTTCACGTCGGTTTTCTGTCAGGCTGTGGTATCACTCCGGTCGAGCCGGCTTATTCGTGCCGAAGCATGGCTCTCCCACACTTCCACAGAAAATTGGCCTACAACCATGCTTGTTATGTGGGCAGACTTGTGAGTTCAAAGCCTCGAACACAGGCGTAAGGTTGCAAGCCTTTAGGTTTTCTACCGGATACATTACAGTGAGTGTGCGGGGGAATTGCACAACTTGATTCCACTAGTCCTTTCCATTAATGTACCACAAGGAAATCGGCGAAGCGTCACCGATTCATGGTAGATGTCCCACCCACACGCACGAAGCGCTTCGCATCAAGCTTCCTTGTGCGTATTGCTAAGGAGTGGAATTCTTTGTCAGAGTCTGTATTTTATTTATTTCCTAAAGGTTATATAATCTTCGAGGCCCGAATGAATAGGTTACTTATGGGACGACGTGCTCCATCGTAGACCGCATCATCGCTTTCCACCAGGCGAGATAGTGGTCAAACGTCGAGTCATCAAATATTTAAAAAAGTCTCCAGATCCCTGTAGAGCCGTGAGAATTCTCCATGCCTCAAAAGGCCGACCATATATTTTTAATTGCTCTGGTATTCCAGGTGTCCAGGGGCGGCGCTGATTGCTTACCATCAGTTGATCTGTCGGCTCGTTTGCCCTACTGTTTCATTAAAATTACCTGCAATGTGTAGGGTCGCTGTACGCAGTCTGTACTGGTGTCTTCCCTTCTGAAATCGTGTCGGTCGCGCTGAAACCTCCCAGTGGGAACCCTGTAGTTCCTGAAATTTTAATTATTTTAATACTAGCTTTTACCCGCGGCTTCGCTCGCGTCATAAAAGGATAAAAAGTAGCCTATGTGACATATACCAATACACATAGCGCCATCTATACCAATACTTTTGTTTTCCCTCGGAAATATCAAATTTTGCCGGGATAAAAAGTACTCTATTATTTAATCCGGACTTCTAACTTTACGTCTGCAAAAATTCAAAGCAATCGGTTTAGTAGTTACGGCGTGAAAGCGGAACAAACAAATAAACAAACTCACTTTCCGATTTATAATAATTATTATAGTAAGGATATCCGTCTGTCAGTCACAGTGAAGCTATTTGCTCGTTCCAAAGTGTAGATTCCTATGGACAGACGTACCGACTTTCGCGGACTGCCCTTATACTCAGGGAACGCTGCGGCTGCTGTCCGGCACTTAATGCTAATGTACAATGTAACACCCACTTTTCACTATTTATGTTATGAGTCCCATGTAATAGAGGGTGAGTCTATTGCCATATACCGGGCACAATGCCAGGCTCCGTGCTATTACTGCGATTTTTTTTAAAACCCAGTTATACTTTGCCCGACCCGGGAATCAACCCGAGACTCCTTGCCCGGCAGTCGCACTTACAACCACTCGACCAACGAGGCAGGCGCTAGTGTTAAATAATCTTATACTATTATATAAAATGGAAAAGTTAGTTTTTTTGTTTGTTTGTTTGAACGCGCTAATCTCCGTAACGACAAGTCTGATTTGAATAATTATTTTTGTGTTGGATAGCGTATTTATCGAGGATGGCTATAGGCTATAAAACATTACTCTACGATCAATAGGAGTTGAGCAGAGCGTGTGAAACCGCGCGGAAGTAGCTAGTATTAACAATATGTGTGCGTGTGTGTGTGCATACCTGCTATAGCTCCCCTGGTCATGCTGAGTCCGCGCTGTATCCGTGCAATTGCAGCTCTGTGTCTGGGTAATGGAGCCGTACTCCCCTTCTCCTGGAGCACGAACCTACCCAATGTTTTCCAGCCAGCCTGGGGATTAAAAAAAAGTTTTAATAATTTTGACCGAGTAACCAGGCAACGTCGTTGTGATCAGCTACACTTATTAAAATCTAGAACTGCACTATACAGGAATAGTATCTTTGCAATGGCTTCAAAAATTTATAATAAACTGCCTAAATATATAAGAAACGAAAATAATATTAGACTTTTAAAACGAAAACTGACATTATTTTCAATTGACAAGACATATTATTCTATTGACCTATTTCTAAATGATAAATTTTGACATACTATCATGATTCTTTTATACTTGTTTAATATAAATATATTAATAATGCTTGGTACCTGCCTGACTTAATAACTATTTGTACACCAATTTTATTGGTAGAACATAGAGATGCTATTAATGTATGTTAAACACCCTTCTGTATAACCTGTGTTCACAAATAAATTGATTTGATTTGATGTTTTTATAATAAATATCGTGAGATAAACTAAATTAACTAAAAATCGCGGATTACTCGCGTGAATAGTACTTAAACGAACGCCTTACCTATACTTTTAGGTTTCATTTATAGGTTGGTGTAAATTAAAATGTCGTTAAGTACCACCTATTTTAACTTAAATAAATAAATAAAAATAAAATAAAAAAGCCTTTTATTTCTTGCTATAAAAATAAAAACAAAAAAATACATTTAAAACTAAGTATCCGTTAGTTACAAAAAGTCCTTCTTCTTTCCTCCTTTTCTTTCAAGAATCCCTCTCTTGGAAGGTAAAGGCCTCCTCCAGAGATAGCCAGTGATTTCTATCTTCTGCTATTCGCATCCAGTTTTTTCCTGCTATTTTTAAGATGTCGTCTGTCCAGCGTGCATTTGGTTTACCCTTTCTTCTTTGACCTGAAGGTCCTAACCATGATGTTGTTTTTCTTGTCCAGCGGTTGTCACTGAGTCTATATGAGATTTTAACTTAAGAGTCCCTTAAACGGGAGTTTGGTGAAAATGAGCAATTATCTAGCACCAAAAAGTTCTCTAAACTCCTCACCTGAGCAGCATACACCACTTCATCATCAGCTAGAGCCCTCTGCTGCGGTCCAGTACCAGCTCGTCCACCCCACTCCAACTCCTCGACCAGCACGAACCGCTTGGGGTCGTCATGGCAACGAGCTTTTGTTAGTGCCTGGTACACTACATATGATGCTGACGCCGTTAGTGGGACCTGGGTAATGGAAAATTACTTATAGGTTAGCAAACATAATTTAAAATAATAGAGGTCGCTAGTGTCGTATCTGTGGCAACCTGGTGCACTATGATTTAACCGGTTTTGATATTTGTTATTATTACATAACATCACGCCTTTTATCCCCGAAGGGGTAGGCAGAGGTGCACACAGAAGTAAGACCCACTTTTCACTATTTATGTTATGAGTTCCATGTAATAGGGGGTGAGCCTATTGTCATATACCGGGCACATTTCCAGACTCTGTGCTACTAGTGAGATTTTTAAAAACCCAGTAATACTTTGCTCGACCCGGGAATTGAACCCGAGACTTTTTGCCCGGCAGTCGCACTTGCGACCACTCGGCCAACGAGGCAGTCATATACCTCCTCTAGAGAAGACCCTTTTTCATGATATCTACCGATCTACACTTACAGGCAGACTGGAGACCTTAAGGTACCAGTATTTTTTTTTAAGTGTGGAAAATCATCGAAACATTACTGACTAAAAACCACCCCGTTCCTTCTCCTGCACGTCGAGCCGGAGCCCCGGTTACCCGTTAGGTTCTCCGCGACTCCGAATCGGCATCGGCCCTGTTGGGCCCCATCCGAGGTGGTCTGATGGCTCTTAGAGGCGCGCGCGGAACGCTCGGGTCTGTTTCTGGTCGGACGGGGAGCCACCCATGCTCGCCGTCCGCAGGCCCGCGCTTAAGGTACCAGTATAAGTCATTCATAGACCTCTGTTGCATGCCACGATCATTGTTAAATATATTACTGCCTGAATCGGTTTTTATGATACTCGCCGCAAGATAAGGGCCTACACTGCCAGCTTTCTATCCACCAGCATTTAAATTCATCCTTCATAGTCTCTGCCTACCCCCATGGGAGATAGGCATGAGGTTGTGTATGTATGTAAATCCATCTCCATGCACCAAAGAAATGTCAGTGGTAGCACGGAGTCTGGAATTATATCCAGTATATGGCAATAGGCTCACCCCCTATTACATGGGATTCTGAAGATAAATAGTGAAAAGTGGGTGTTTCATTGTACAGTGGCATTAAGTGTCGTTATGTACCCCTTCGGAGATGATAAAAGGCGTGATGTTATGTTATGTGTGTAAATTCGTCTTGGCTCATACCTTCAGAATGGCGTATGGTATCTCATGAGACACATTATGGACGCACACGAGGAAGCTGTCAGGTGGCTTCCGAGGCTCTTCATCCTGGGTGCTCGACTCCTCATCAGATGGAACCGACCTATCTCTGTTGCGATCTGATGATGCTGATCTGGAAGGGTGATAGGAGATGATAACATCAAGGTTAATTCAAGAAAAACCCCCAAAGGCCGGGAACGCACTTGTAACACCTCTGATTACTTACCATCAGGTGATTTTTTGCTGGGTTCAGTCAGCCCTATTTATTTTAATGTGGTGTCTATTTTGATTCTCCTTTATAGAGTCCTCATAGAGTCAATTATACCGAAATACTTATAACGAAAATGCCCACATTTTTTCCCTCACCCGGAAATTGAACCTGACACCCCTTACTCAGTAATCACACTTCCGATTCAACCTCTTTAACCAAAAGTATGATTACAAAAAATAATGTTGACTTTAAAAACTTTTAAAGTGACTTTTGAACCCCATGTTCTAAAAATATGTATTTTTTTTAACCTCATTATAAAAATATCTATCGTTCAGATCATTTACATTTTGCATAATGACAAATACAAAATTATATAGCTGTATGAAACATCCATACAAACCTGCCATTCTCCTTTCCACGACATAAGAAAAAAATCTAAAACTAGACAACGTTTTTCTAAAATAATTATTTTATGAACTACGTTTAAAAAATTCGACTTTAAATCCCTTCATTTTTGAAGTCGGTTAATTAATATAGTAGGACCTTCTCGTAAGTGTAATAAATACTTTTCCTAAAACCGCATCAAAACCGGTTCAACCAATCGCGACATAATAGAAAGAATAGAAAAATAAAGAAAACTTGTTTATTTGTACCGTAACAAATAAAAAAAACAAAGAAGAACAGTAATACAATAAAAAAATGGTAAAAGTGTGCACGGCGCAAAAAGGCCAAGTGCTCAGCTGAATGCCGTGACCCGAGAGCAGTAACTCGAGTTGCGGCGCTAATTTTCAGCACTAGATAATCGCACACATTCGATATTTATTAACACTTCTGTAAAATAAACATACGATGGCGGACTTAATGCCGGGTGGCATTCTCTAACAGTCAACCATGGGGTGATGCAGAGATGTGCAACAGTAGGTGTAATAGGTGTAATGGTTTCATTTATGTGACACAGAAAAATCTGTATAAATAAATTTATAATTATGCATATATCCGTATATATAGGTATAATATAAATGGGTAGTATTTAAACGAATATCAAAAAATATCCTTTTTCTTTGCAATAAGATTCCGAATTCCCATCAAAATTACTGATTGCACAGCAAAATATTTAACTCAAAATATTACTAAACACACTACAATTTATTTTCGCAGCGTACAACGATTTTGCCTAAAGCAAAAGCTTTCATTAATGCACAGCTAATAATCTTAATGCACATTATATAGGTAAACTCTTTTTCTTTTAAATATAGCTTCTATTTTTAAATTATTTACAACAGTTTTTCTAAATAAAGCAGCATTTTAAATTCACTTATTTTATTTAAACTAATATTTTTAATATAAACGGCTAAATGGTATGAAAAGATTTGAAAAGCAGTTAGTGATATAACGCTCGCTAACCTAACCTAACCAAATGTTTCGGGGTGCCCAAAATTGCTGTGCAGTCAGTATTTATGCTATGTATGTAGTATTTTTGTACAAAAACAAATATAACCAATGCAAATGCAATAGCATTATAAGGAAAAAAGGATTGTCGTATTGATGTATAATTTCGAATTATCTGCAGTTTGAGTTTTGTAGAACATTTCATTTGTTTGTAATGAAGTAAGTTATTTGATGTAAAAAAGAATATAAATGATAGGCGATTATTTATTTGATATGCAATTTATAATATCCCAATATAAATTACATAAGATACATTATCAATATTGCTAAATAACAAGACTATAAAAGTAAATAAATAAATTGGGGATAAAACTACAAAAATATTAAATACAATCGCCAAAATGATAAATTAAGTACGTGATGCGTCTGTCTGTTCCCTCTGCAATAGTTCACGAACCTTAACTTTAAAACTAAGCCGGCTGGTTGCCGTCCTGACATCCGTGGGCAGCGCATTCCACAGCAGAATGGATTGGACAAAGAGTGAAGGAAGTCGGTCCGGTGTGTGGGACATTATAGAAGAAGATTATTAGTGGAACGAAGATACTTGCTGTGGTTTGCACTTATGAACTGAAAATAGGAGGATAGATAGCTAGGAGAAGTGGGGGAATTAAGAAGAGAGAATAAAGTGGTTAACGCCCGTTGTTTCCTGCGCTGACGTATGGGCAACCACTTTAGAAGCAACCGTTTTTTATACCGTTAAAAAAATTACTTTATATTCTACATACCTGATGCTAGTCAACCACGCTCGACTGCTTGGGTCATCCCCAACCCTCTTCAGTAACAACCTCGCTCCAGGTCTGGCAGATGCAGCCCTTAGCACCCTCTCATGAGGAGCCAGCACTCTCTGTGTTGGAGCTCGAGAGGGAACCTCCTCCACCATCACGTAGCTGCCTCGAGCTGATCTGCAGACTCCTGCTTTCGTTAGGCATTGGGCTATAGCCTGTGGAGCAGAAATGAATTAGGGTGGGTGTCTAATGCTTAAAATGAATCGTTTATAACATCGAAAGTAAGAAAAACAAATGAATTTGTGCTTTTGCTGGTTAGTTATAGGAGTTCCATCAAGTTCCATGAAATGAAATGAAGTGATATTTATTTCTGCAAATAGTTGACTGAGTGGTCGCAAGTACGACTGCCGGGCAAGGGGTCTCGAGTCAGGCAAAGTTTTTAAAAAAGACAGGGTTTTTAAAAAACATCTCAGTACTAGCACGGAGTCTGGAATTGTGCCCGATATATGGCAATAGGCTCACTCCCTATTACATGGGACTCAAAACATAAATAGTGAAAAGTGGGTGTTACATTGTACAGTGGCATTAAGTGCCGAAATGTGCACCTTTGCCTACCCCTTCGGGGATAAAAAGGCGTGATGTTCTGTATATATGTATTTTGTAATTTTATTTTTTATCCAGCAAAGCTCGACTTGCTGTAATGCAGTGTGTATTGACACCAACGCTTATGTATGGTAGTGAATCATGGGTGTGGCAGAAGAAGCATGAAAGCAGGATTAATGCGGTGGAAATGAGAGCCCTGAGAAGTATGTGTGGACTAAAATTGAGTGATCGAGTGAAAAATAGTGTTATTAGAGAAAGGTGTGGATTGAAAGATGATGTAGTGACAAGGATTGAAAAGGGAATGTTACGCTGGTTTGGACATGTAGAAAGGATGGATGAAAGTAGAGTATCGAAAGAAGTATACAGAGCGGATATGAATGGGGCCGTCGGTAGAGGGCGCCCTAGAAGGACATATACTGACCAGATTGGCGATATATTAAAGAAGGCCCAAATTAAAAGTACCCTTAACCGACGAGCATGCATGAAAAGATTGATGACTGTTGATAAAGCGAAAGAGGTATGTAGGAATCGTAGTGATTGGTGTTCCATAGTCTCTGCCTACCCCATGGGAGACAGGCGTGAAGTTTATGTATGTTTTTGTGTGTGCCTACTTGCAAATTTTTTTTCTTTCTAGGCATCCATTCTCACCTCATTGGCAGTAGTATCCTGCGTGACCTTCAAGATGGAGTAGGCTTCATGTCTAGCCACCGCATACACCACTAAGAAGTGAATCTTCCGTCTCTCATGAGGAGAAGTAGGCTCCAGGTCTCCTCGACAGCTCTCCCCTGCTAACTCCTCGCAGCATCGGGAGAAGATCAGGAGTGATGCCATGTTCAGAGGTTGGTTTGTTGGTGATCTGAAATTTTGAGTTTGAATTAGTAAAGACTTTGACTATGATATACGATAGGTGTATGAGTATATAGCATCATTATAGTTGAACCTTCTCTATATAAGATAAGGTTTAAAATAAGTATATTCTGTCTTTTATGGGATATGTCGTGAAACGAGCAGACGAATTCCCGTCGGTAAGCAATCAGCATCGCCCAGGACATGTGGAACACCAGAGGCATTACAAGTGCGTTAGCGGTATTTTGGGGATTAGGAATTTGAGGATTCAGGGATTGGGAAGATTGGGGAGATTGGGGAGGGGGAGTGTACCTAATTGGGCCTCCGGTAACCTCACTGACACGACTTAACACAACGCAAGCGTTCTTTCACGTCAGTTTTCTGTTAGGCCTTGGTATCACTCCGGTTGAGCTGGCCTATTCGTTCCGAAGCATGGCTCTCCCACTTTTATTGTGAATACAAAATTATGTTAGATAGCATCGCATTACGTTCACGTATGGGTAGAGATAGCCATGATTGGGCACTGCTGGACCGGCTTGGCCGAAGTGATAAAGAACCGACATGAAACAACGCTTAGGTATGTTGTGTTTCGTCGTGTGAGTACGGTTACCGGAGGCGCAATTCTCTCTCCCTCAACAGCCCAGCATTCCATCACGGCTTAAGTGGTTGTGGGTCTCCGTGAGTGGTGCTAATCACTTTTATACAAGTGAAACAAGTGAATTTATTTCTTCAAATAGGCTACAAGGCAGCACTTTTACACGTCAATTTTATAAAGCGAACGATGAGGTCGACATTTTCTAACTGACTACTCTGAGAAGAAATGACGAAACAAACTCAGAGGTCCGTCTCTTTTAAAGTCCAGACAATATGTATAACAGATTATGTGTGAGAACCGTGCAAGTTCTTTCTGTAGTGGCCTTTTGAGGAAAGAACCACAACAGTTTGAGCGGACCCGTTCTGAAGGCAGTACGCATGTGTCGGTTTACAGTCAGCTCAATTAACAGGTGAGGCTGACTGATTCGACGAACAATACCAACCTTAAGAACATTTGCGTGGGTCGCACAAATACTCAAACTGTCAAATGTTGATATGAATTTGTCCCTTGTGTCATTTGGGAATCGCACCCGACACCGCGCCGCGAACTCACTTGGTATCTGTTCAGTCAGATAAAAAATTGGTTGCCTGTAAAGTCGGTATACGGGCGAAAGTTTTACGTGACAACGACTTTGAGTGGTAAAATAATTTTAATGTGAATATTCATTCGTATAGTAGGAAGAAGGATGTATCTCTCTCACTCTCTCTCTCTCGCTCTTAGGCGGGCTGGAAGGGACGCGTGCCTTTCACTTTTTATGTCTGTCTCTCTCGCTCTTAGGCGGGCTAACCATGCCCGAGTGGAAGGGACGCGTGCCTCTCACTCGCTCTCATTAGAGCGATTAGAGCGGAGCGTAACGCAGTTTCTTGAAGTGTCACCCGGCAAACCAATTTATAAGACGTTGTCACGTCAAAAGTCTACCATAATCAGAAGGTTCTTACCGTAGTCTGACATGTCTGTACCCAGGTCTCAGACACTGCAGAGGTATGACCCGTTGAGACAGCATATAGTTTGTGTCTGCGTCAAATATATCGAACCTTAGAAACGCCAGCTCCGGGAAATTGATCTGTAATGCAAAGATAATAAAGCTTAACATAAGAGAGGTAGGCAGAGGTGCACATTATGATACTGTACAATGTAACACCTACTGTTATAAGTCCCATGTAATAGGGAGTAAGCCTATTGAGTGTGAGCCGTGCTACTATAACTGAGATTTTTTTTAAAAACCCAATAATACTTTGCCCAACCCGGGAATCGAACCCGAGACCCATTGCCATGTAATAAAGTTTACTTAGGTTATATTACTATGAAGCAAAAGAAATCGTATAAGGCTGTTAAATAGTCTGCTACAGGTCTACCTAATAAAAGCGTTATATTTGTAACTAGCAGCCCGTCCCGGCTTCGCACGGGGTAGACAATTATTTATTTTTGGAAATTTGGATTGTTGTAGTGACTACAATAGTTGGACATATGCTACCGCGGAGTTTTTTGTAGTCATTATGATGTTCTTCAATATTGTTGTACATTATTTTGTTCTATCGCTAATAGTTTCGGCAGCGCATTCGACGAAAAACATTTTAAGACAAATTTTTCTACACCTTCGGTTACATTGTTCAAATTTTACCAACGATCCCTAATTTTTTTCAAAATGAAAGGAAATGTAGCCTATGTCAAATTGGAAGAATGTAGCATTCTATTAGTGAAAGAATTTTTTAAATCGGCCCAGTACTTTTTGAGCCTATTCATTACAAACATACAAAAATAGGTACAAATCTTTCCTCTTTATAATATTTGTTTGTGATATTAAAATAACCGCTTTTTACTACATGCATATGAATACGATACACATACCAAAATACTTATTTTTTTTATAATTTCTGTCTGTTTACCTGTTTGTACTCGCCTATCTCTGAAATGGTTGCACCGATTTAGACGGGACTTTTATTGGTAGGTAGCTAATACTAAGGAGTAAAATAGGCGCTATTTATTTATTTTAGAGTAGCTTTTACCTGCGGCTTCACTCGCGTCACAAAAGGATAAAAAGTAGCCTATGTGACATATACTAATACACACAGCGCCATCTATACCAATACTTTCGTTTTCCCTCGAGAATATCAAATTATTCCGGGATAAAAAGTACCTAACTACCCTATTATTTAATCCAGACTTCTAACTTTACGTCTGCAAAAATTCAAAGCAATCGGTTTAGTAGTTACGGCGTGAAAGCGGAACAAACAAACAAACAAACAAACTCACTTTCCCATTTATAATAGTAAGGATTAGAAAAATGCAGACAAAGTTGCAATTACAGCTAGTATTACCTTGAAACTAAAGGTCTCATTCCATATAGGATTCAAAGCGTTCTTCCTCGCGACCTTAGTCCTGATCTTCTTGCAGTCAGCTGGAACTCCTAATATCTCCACTTCCACGAAGGCGTTGTAGAAGGAGTATACGTTTTCAGCTACGTACTGTCCTGAGATCACCGCTAGAGTGAGGTGGGCAGCGTGTATGCCATCAAATTCCTTGTCCATTGGGTTGAATCTGTAACAAATGTAGGATTATGTAGGATTTTGGTTATAAATGGAGTAGGAAAAGGGTTGAGTTTTGCTCGTTGGCTTATGACAAAAATGATTTATAATATTCAATTTTAACCATCTGACAGTCAACTTCAATTGCACGGTTGGTGCGGTGGCTGGGCAACCGGCTGCCGTGCAACGTGTCGCGGGTTCGATTCCCGCACGGAACAACACTTTGTGTGATCCACAAATTGTTGTTCCGGGTCTGGGTGTCATAGTGTATGTTAACTTGTATGTTTGTAAACGCACCCACGACACAGGAGAAAATCCAAATGTGGGGCAACGTTCTTTAAAAAAAAAATGCTGATGTATAGGTTTCTCAAACATGCATAACATAACATTACGCCTTTTATCCCCGTAGGGGTAGGCAGAAATGCACACAGAAGTAACACCCACTTTTCACTATTTATGTTATGAGTCCCATGTAATATGGGGTGAGCGTATTGCCATATACCGGGCACATTTCCAGACTCCGTGCTACTACTGAGATTTTTTAATTAAAAGCGCTGTAGTACTTTGCCCGACCGGGGAATCGAACCCGAGACCCCTTGTCCTTGTTGGCAGTCGCACTAGCGACCACTCGGCCAACGAGACACCTCTAGTCCTAATAATATAAAAACTATTTTAATAAATTCTCACCTCCTATAAGCGATATGTCCCGGGTCCCACATGACGCTGGGTTTTCTAACGTACCCAGTGCATCCATTACTCTCATACATCGCGGCATTCACTGCCATGGCCGCATCTTCAGTCTGATAGTTCAGCGCTACTAGTTGTACGCCACAGGACCAGAAGGTCACTGGATCGAAGTTCGACGAGTCTATTCTTAGGCTGAAATGTAAAGGATTAGTGTAAAGTCATCAATATCAAAAATTTTCATGTTAAGTAATGTCACGTCATTTATTGATTTTTTAAGGTAAATTTTAGTGTTTGTGCGATTAAGAAAAACATAACATAACATCACGCCTTTTATCCCCGAAGGAGTAGGCAGACGGCACTTAACGCCACTGTACAATGTAACTCCCACTTATCACTATTTATGTTATGAGTCCCATGTAATAGGGGGTGAGTCTATTGCCATATACCGGGCAGACTCCGTGCTACTTTTTAAAAAACCGAGTATTTTTTTGCCTTACCCGGGAATCGAACCTGAGACCCCTTGCCCGGCAGTCGCACTTGCAACCACTCGACCAACGAGGCGATATTAAGAAAAAGTAATTTAAAAATGTAACTAAAAACATATAGAAACTAAACTAAAATCAAAACTGCTACAGAATATTCCATAATTCCATAGTATATCACGTTCCATTATGCGACATACCGTTATGACACGCCACACCCTATTATCTCACATCACGTTATGTTTCATTATGTTTCGTTATGTCAATGCTACATTGTGTTATAGCCTTACCCGGCGGGATACGTTCTAACAAGCTGTGTCTCCGTGTGCGCAATCAGTGCCATGGGATGCTTCCTGCATATCTTCTTGCCAATAGCCTCGTTCACTGAGGAGCAGCGGTAGCAGGGGTGGTGGACTGCCGGAGCGTTCAGACACCGAGGCCGTGGCTGTTGTGCTATCTATAAGGATATAAAGACATAGCATACAGTCAGTAATAGTATACTTAGTTATCATTATTATAGAGGGAACAAAGTTATGTCATGTTATGTTGTTATGTGTCACGTCACATTATGTTACGTTAGGAAATAAAGAAAGGGAGAAAACGGGATTGCGCGTCTTCGTACGCGCAATCGCGTTTTTTCCCGGGCTTTATATATATAATTCTTCTGTGAGTGTGTATGTCACTGAACTTCTCTCAAACGACTGGACCGATTTTGATGAAATTTTTTGTGTGTGTTCAAGGGGATCTGGGAATGGTTTCGATTCACAAATCAGCCCGGCAGATGGCGCTGCAGTCGATGTTTAGGTTATTTATCTTAAACAGCTGGACTAATTTGAATGAATTTTTGTTTATACATTCAAGTATCCACTTGTCATGCATATCCATGCAGGACAACGTCTGTCGGGTCCGCTAGTAAAATATAAAAAAAGACAATAAAATATAGTATGACAGTGAAAGTATAATAAACAGTGAAAATTATTACAGATACATTCCATTATGTTACATCACATTACGTTATGTTCCGTTATGTCATGTTATGTCATGTTATTTATTCTCACCGTACTAGTGCTATCGCTACTCTCCGAGGACTCGAAGCTGCTACCCGGAGCGGTCTCCTTGGCAATGTTGCTTGGTTGTTTCATTGAACTTCGTGGAGATAGCGGGTTCAGACCCCGGAACTTAATCGCCTGTGGAAAAATATGTTGTTCAAGAGTCTTTTTACGCGATTGTGATTTGTGTAGATAGTTAAAAAATTTAAATAAATTACATAACACCAAGCTTTTTATCCCGGAAGTTGTAGAAGAGGTGCAACTGTACAATGCAACACCCACTTTTCACTATTTATGTTATGAGTCCCATGTAATAGGGGGTGGGCCTATTGCCATATACAGGGCACAATTCCAGACTTCGTACTACGACTGAGATTTTTTTTTTAAAACCCCGTAATACTTTGTCAGATCCGGGAATCGAACCCGAGACCCCTTGCCTGGCAGTCGCACCTGCGACCACTCGGCCGATGGCGCAGTCTAAATAAATTACTTGAAATAATATTGCGCCTTCCATTTCCCAAAGGAATAGGCAGCGGTGTAGCTATAAAATACATTTCTCATATAATGTAAATATAAACTATTTTATCTTAGGAATTACATGTAAAAGTAATCACTACTTAGTATAAAGTCGCTATCCGCCGTCTGTCTGTCCCTATGTATGCTTAGATCTTTAAAACTACGCAACGGATTTTGATGCGGTTTTTTTTAATAGATAGTGATTTAAGGAAGATTTATATGTATAATATATGCACTTTGCACCCGCGCGAAGCTGGCCCGGATCGCTACTGATGTATAAATGTTTGACCTGGGAATTATACCCTTTTTTTTAAGGGGGGAAAATCATCGAATGACTGTTTCCGCCTGGGTGAGGCGGGAGGGAGTGTCAGACTCTTACTGACTAAAAACCACCCCGTTCCTTCTCCTGCACGTCGAGCCGGAGCTCCGGTTACCCGTTAGGTTCTCCGCGACGGAATTACACCCTTTTTTTTTTTTTTAAGGGGGGGAAATCATCGAATGACTACTCCCGCCTGGGTGAGGCGGAAGGGAGTGTCAGACTCTTACTGACTAAAAACCACCCCGTTCCTTCTCCTGCACGTCGAGCCGGAGCCCCGGTTACCCGTTAGGTTCTCCGCGACGGAATTACACCCTAGGTTTCTTGTTCAGTAGTCACATATATAAAAGCTTCTTCTAAAATGAACTTTAAATCCCACTAAACAAAGTTCAAACTCCACATACCTGGACATAAGTCACCATGTCACTGAGTTCCCTCGCGATCTGATTGCTTCTCTTCCTAGTAGGAGCATGTTTGACGCTGCCAGAAGTAGTTTCTGCGTCTCCCTCACTCCTGCGGAAACTCTGATAGAGAGACAGAGAGGTCCGACCGCATTTGTCCTCCATGGAGTTTAGGATTTTGTGTAATTCTTTTTCTGCAAGAGATTTGGTTTTTTATTAAGAGAACAGGTAGGGGAGGTGCACATCTTTATATATATAATTCTTCTGTGAGTGTGTATGTCACTGAACTTCTCTCAAACGACTGGACCGATTTTGATGAAATTTTTTGTATGTGTACAAGGGGATCTGGGAATGGTTTAGATTCACAAATCAGCCCGGCAGATGGCGCTGCATATGCACCTATTATTATACTATATGCAGGACAACGTCTGTCGAGTCCTCTAGTTTAGATATACCTCTAAAATAGGGTAAATGCCTAATTTTTATTTTAATGTCCATCTTGTAGATTACTTTAAATCATTGAACACGTATATTTTATTTTCTTACAGAAACGAATACTTACTTATCATCACGCCTTTTATCCCCGAAGGGATGGTCAGAAGTGCACATTATGCCACTGTACAATGTAACATCCACTTTTCACTATTTATATTATGAGTCCCATGTAATAGGGGGTGAGCCTATTGCCATATACCGGGCACAAATCCAGACTCCGTGCTACTACTGAGAATTTTTTTAAAACCCAGTAATATTTTGCTCGACCCGGGAATCGAACACGAGACCCCTTGCCCCGGCAGTCGCACTTGCAACCACTCGGCCAACTACATTGTACAGTGGTATAATGTGCACCTCTGCCTACCCCTTCGGGGATAAAAGGCGTGATGTTATGTTATTTAAAGGTAGCCAAATGCCTTTTAGCGCTTGTCTACATGTAGAATAGAAAACCAAATTATATGGAATTGACGTAAATTTTGACACTTGTCAGTGTCATCCCCATACATTTAGTTTTCTACTCTCTCTGTAGACAAGCGCTAAAGTGGCGTTTGGCTAAAGGCACTGGTATTACGAGTGTCAATAGACAGCGTCTATTGCTTACCGGATGAGCAGTCTACTCATTCGCTTTTCCATCTATGCCATATTTATAAAAACGATTTTATACTATTTTTGCACATCAGCTGATCACCCAAATACACAATAATACATAGTCTCCTTTTTCCACAATTTTTTTATCAAAAAGGAGTTACTCATTTACTCCTTTTTCTCTATCTCTATAATCTCTATCTCTATCTTATACTATTATATAAAGCGGAAGAGTTTGTTTATTTGTTTGTTTGTTTGAACGCGCTAATCTCCGTAACTACAAGTCTGATTTGAATAATTATTTTTGTGTTGGATAGTGCATTTATCGAGGATGGCTATAGGCTATAAAACATCACGCTACGACCAATAGGAGCTGAGCTGAGCGTGTGAAACCGCGCGGAAGTGGCTAGTGGTCGATAATCAGCGCCGTCAATGGACGCCCACCAGCAGCACCATAGGAATCACAAGTAGAGTAGCTTACTGGTAGTAATGCCGTTAGACGCTGCACCAACCATGCAGTACACATATCCCACTCACCATCCAACTCCTCATCATCTTCATCATAGTCCTCGTCGGAGAAGTACTCAGTGAGCGAGCTGCCCGCTGACTGGTTGGACATGATGGAGCTCGTCCTGTTGCTCTGTTCCGGAAGGGAGGTGCTCGTGTGACGGATGCCGTTGGACCTGGTGAGAGGGGAATGAATTATAATGAAGTCATTTTTGGCAGGGCTGGACTCCTTAAGTAAAATAGTTCAGAAATATTTTTGCTGTATTTATTTTGTATCATAGATTCTTTAACTGTCTGCCTCGTTGGCCGAGTGGTCGCAAGTGCGATTGCCGGGTAAGGGGTCTCGGGTTCGATTCCCAGGTCGGGCAAAGTAATACTGGGTTTAAAAAAAAAACTCAGTAATAGCACGGAGTCTGGAATTGTACCCGGTATATGGCAATAGGCTCACCCCCCATTACATGGGACTCATAACATAAATAGTGAAAAGTGGGTGTTACTTTGTACAGTGGTATAATGTGCACCTCTGCCTACCACTTCGGGGATAAAAGGCGTGATGTTATGTTTGTTTAGTTTCTTTAAGAAAGGGTTTTGTGTTTTTTTTGAGGGGAAAAGAAAGTAGTGCACTTCTTTATTGCATAAGCCGGTAAACAAGCAGACGGATCGCCTATAGGTAAGCAATCGGCGCCACCCAACCCATGGACACCGGCAACACCAGAGGTGTTGAACCTTGATGGCTACCAATACAGTCCGGACCAGCTATAACTAACTTTTTTTTATGGCATAAGCCGGTAAACTAGCTGACGGATCACCTGATGGTAAGCAATCGGCGTCGTCCAAGGACACCTGGAACACCAGAGTCGTTACAAGTGCGTCACCGGCCTTTTGGGGATTCGGAGTTTGAGGATAGTAGGGGATTCAGGGATTGGGGAGATTGGGGAAGGGGAGGGTAATTGGGCCTCCGGTAACCTCACTAACACGACGAAACACAACACAAGCGTTGCCTCACGTCGGTACTCTGTGAGGCCGTGGTATCACTCCGGTCGAGCCGGCTCATTCGTACCGAAGCATGGCTCTTGAACTAATTGAAAATTCGATATTTACCTAAATGCCGTGGACAGTACGCCGCTGTACCCTTGCGCAGAGCTGGCCCCAGTCAGACCCATCGTCGGACTTGACTCAATCGGGAGCAGCTTCTTATTCTTTATTAGGACCTGAGACGAAACAAAAGCATGTAAAACAAATTTAAATAAAGGTATTATTATTATTTTATAGCTTTTTTTTAAGCATAAGCCGGTAAATGAGCAGACGGATCACCTGGTGGTAAGCAATCGGTGCCGCCCATGGACACTCGGAACACCAAGGCGTTTAAAGTGCGTTACCTTTTGGGAATTGGCAATTTGAGGATTGTGTAGGATTCGGGGATTCGGGAGACGGGGACTAGGGAGGGGGATAATTGGGCCTCCGGTAACATCACTCACACGACGAAACACAACGCAAGCGTTGTTTCACGTCGGTTTTTTGTGAGTCCGTGGTATCACTCCGGTCGAGCCGGCCCATTCGTGCTGAAGCATGGCTCTCCCACACTTGACTTTTTTAATGGCATAATAGAGTGTTCCAAGTAGATGTTGACACGGCTCTGAACGAACGGATCCTGACGGTATGTGATCAGCGCCCCCTCTTCATTGACAGTCAACCTATCTAGTTCAGTTTACTTAAGGACTTTTTTTTAATGGGGGAAAATCATCGAATGACTGCTCCCGCCTGGGTGAGGCGGGAGGGAGTGTCAGGCTCTTACTGACTAAAAACAACCCCGTTCCTTCTCCTGCACGTCGAGCCGGAGCCCCGGTTACCCGTTAGGTTCTCCGCGAGTTAAGGACTTTGAGTATACTCTTCATAAAAGGGTATGCTAAATTCTCCACGGTTGGCTAGGTGGGGACAGCTATTTGAATGGTTCAGGTTTATCAGGGAACTCTGCTGCTTGGTCTTTGTCAGCTCCTTAGTCACCTCTTATGATATCCTCATGAATATTAGGGACGGAGACTTTATCCTTACTAATATTATAACTCGGAAAGTGAGTTTGTTTGTTTGTTCCACTTTCACGCCGTAACTACTAAACCCATTGCTTTGATTTATTGCAGACGTAAACTTAGAAGTCCGGATTAAATAATAGGATACTTTTTATCCTGGAAAAAAATTATATTCTCGAGGGAAAACGAAATTATTGGTATAGATGGCGCTGTGTGTATTGGTGTATGTCACATAGGCTACTTTTTATCCTTTTGTGACGCGAGCGAAGCCGCGGGTAAAAGCTAGTTGGAAATAAAATGAATACTAACCTTGTATTTAAGTTGTTCTGGACTCGGCAGCCTCGGCTCGTCAGTGTAGTCGACTTCAAAGAGGAATGACGTCACCAGTTTCTCTCCGAACACTGCCTGGATGAAGATGACGTCAATAGAGTATCAGCTTAACATAATTTTAATTAGGTAAGTATTTTATACTAGCAAATAATTCGATCAGTCATCAGAATGATACTTATATAAAATATACCATTTTGTTTTGTTATGTTATGTTATACAAATAAAACAAAATGATATATTTTATATGATATATATCTATGCACTAGACACTGCCAAAAAGAGGTAATAATAAAAATAAAATTTCCCCGGTATATGGCAATAGGCTCACCTTCTATTACATGGGACTCATAATATAGAGGTAAATAGTGAAAAGTGGGTGTTACATTGAACAGTGGCATAATGTACACCTCCGCCTACCCTTTCGGATATAAAAGGCGTGATGTTATGTTATCTTATGTTATACCTATGTAATTCTGCTGTACGTGTGTATGTCATTGAACTCCTCCAAAACAGCTTGACTGATTTCATTGAATTTTTCTGTACGCGTTTGAGTGGCGCCCTGGATAGTTTAGATTCACAAATAAGCCTGGCAGATGGCGCTGCAGTCGTCATATGTAGGACATAAAAAGGAAACCCGTTTCCCGTTGTCACGCCATAACTTGAGAACGGCTGGACCGATTTGGCTGATTTTTTTTTTTGTTGTGTTTATTATTGTCAGGAGAAGGTTCTTATGAAACAAAAAAATCTTGAATATCCTACGGGAACGGGAGAAAAAGGGGATTGCGCGTACGAAGTTGCGGGCTGAAGCTAATGTTTTATAAAAGATGTTGGGTATTAAAAAAAATAGTTATTATAAAGAAAGATCGAAGATATTATTATAAAGAAGAATCGTAGTAATTGGCGTTCCTTAGTCTCTGTCTCCCATGGGAGACAGGCGTGAAGTTATGTATGTATGTATGTATAAAGAAAGATAAACATTACCGACCTCAAACGTGCTGGCCATGACTTGCTGCTGGGGTAGGCTGCAGTGGTTCTCTATACTCAGGATGAGAGGGTACGGAGACGCCACGAACGCACTCCTGTATGACAGAGATAAAGATAGATTTTCTAATTATTTATTTGATATTATTTAAGGGAGGAAAATCATCGAATGACTGCTCTCGCCTAGGTGAGGCGGGAGGGAGTGTCAGACTCTTACTGACTAAAAACCACCCCGTTCCTTCTCCTGCACGTCGAGCCGGAGCCCCGGTAACCCGTTAGGTTCTCCGCGACAGATTGTAAACTTACTGTTTCACACAAATCACATCACATCAACAGCCTATAACTATCCACTGTTGACCAAAGGCCTCTTCTCACATGGAGAAGGTTTGAGCATTAACCACCACGCTTGCTCAATGCGGGTTGGCGATTACAAACTTATAATTAGAAATTATAAGCCCAGGTTTCCTCACGATGTTTTTCTTCGCCGTTTGTCAGTGGTGTCTATATAATCTTATGAAGAACATTTAACTTGGAAAATGTCACATTGATACTTGCAGTTAGTAGGTTTCGAACCCTTATGCATGTCTACCCCAACGGTCATCGGTTCTTCGACAAATGAATGTGTGACTAGTTTTGTGCCTTTTTTTTATGGAGTAGGAGGCAAATGAGTAGACGGATCACCTGATGGTAAGCGATCAGCGCCGCCCATGGACACCCGCAACACCAGAGGAGTCACAGGTGCGTTGCTGACCTTTTAAAAAGGAATACGCTCTTTTCTTGAAGGTCGTATCGATTCGGAAATACCGTCGACGTCAGATCATTCCACAGAGGCAGAAAGCATCGTGAGAAGCGCACAGTTGTGGCCTGCCAACCATCTATATGGTGGGGATGCATATTCCTTTAGGCTTAATTCACTCTGTCTCCTGCAGTAATTCACCGAGGGAAGTGGAAACTATCGTTTTTTTCTTCTTCTCCTCTGATTCATATCGTTACGGGAACCAAGACAGTTACTCATGTCTCTAGGACGCGCCGGACTTCAGTATTTCGGTGTTTTCATGATTGTATCTACTGTAGATCCAAGCTTTGTTGTACCATTAAAAGAAAATGTGACCGGCCCACTGCCACTGAAGCTAAACTATTGTACTATATCGACGGTTTTGTTTGTCTAAAGAATTACTTAAGTCGAACCTATGATGCCTAAAACAAAATAAATTGAACAAGAACGTACCTAGCAATAGTTTCCACTACTCTTCGGAATGGTATCTTGGTCGTGAAGGTATGTCCATGGTATATGACGGGGCTGCCATCGTCTCCGTCCCAGCAGTCCAGCTCCACGCATCTACAGCCAGTTAGCAGGACCTGGGGACAAAATGTATAGAAATATTAATGAAAGAAAATACTTTTTTAAGGGGAAAAAATCATCCAATGATTTCTCCTTCTCGCGCCCAGGTGAGGCGAGAGAGAGTGTCAGACTCTTACTGACTAAACACCACGACGTTCCTACGCCTGCTTTAGCTTTTGTTCGGTAAGATTTATTTTATTTATTTATTTATTTTTCCACTTACATTTATCTTTACAGGTTAATGCCCAATGCGATAAATATGCTCATCTTAATATCTACCTATAGCATATTACATATAATGCATTCCTTGTGAATTCACCCAGAGTACAACAAAATAGGTCAATTTCATTAGAAATCAGGTTGAGCGTGCGAAGTGCACGCGTCAGCGGCGCTTCCCTTAATAGGTTGGTCCGACCGCGGGGTTCTGCCAGCAGTGGCGGTCGCCGGCGTCGCCATACGTACCTATCCGGAACACATAGATTCAGCTGTCCTAAAATGACTGCATTGTGCAGCTTTCCTCTTGATATTTAAAAAAAATAAGATAAACCAGTATCGTCTTTACCACAAGGTCTCTTGGGACCCGTGCCCAGGGTCCCTAGGGATTGACAATTTTTAAGACGGACACGTGTAGCGAGCTCGATTCCCGTACGGAAAAATCTTTATGCGCTTTACAAATTGTAGTTTCGGGTCTGAGTGTCATGTGTATGTGAACTTGTATGTTTGTAAATGCACACACGATACAGGAGAAAATCCTAGTGTGGGGCAACGTTTGAATGAAAAATTTAACTCTAAATTCAACCTAGATGATAACTTATTTTTATTATCCTGTAAGTAAATTGTAAGAATAATATTAATTTTGTACTTAAAATAATTTAAACAATAGGCTCACCCCCTTAGACCCCTATTACATGGGACTCATAACATAAATAGTGAGAAGTGGGTGTTACTTCTGTGTGCTCCTCTGCCTACCCATTCGGTGATAAAAGGCGTGATTTTATGTTATGTTAAAATAGTTTACTACATTGTAATGATTAAGCGTCCTTTTAATGTTAATTTTTAATATTTATTTACGCTGGGAACAGCAGAATATTCAAAACATTAATTAATTTGTAACACCTTTGTAACAATATTCTAACAAATAAACGTATATTATTATTATCCTTACTAATATTATAAATCGGAAAGTGAGTTTGTTTGTTTGTTCCGCTTTCACGCCGTAACTACTAAACCGATTGCTTTGAATTTTTGCAGACGTAAAGTTAGAAGTCCGGATGAAATAATAGGGTACTTTTATCCCGAAAAAAATTTGATATTCCCGAGGGAAAACAAAAGTATTTGTATAGATGGCGCTGTGTATATTGATATATGTCACATATGCTTCTTCTTATCCTGTTGTGACGCGAGCGAAGCCGCGGGTAAACGCTAGTATTATTTTAAAAACATTCCAAAAGGGCTTGAGCACCCAAATTATTGTGTGTCCAAAGGCCCCAACGTAGTTTAGGACGGCCCTGAAGAAAATCCATTAGGTTGTCGGCAGTCCGACGTACTTAAATTAATATGGCCTATGGAATTGGCCTACACCTATAATAATAATATTTTAGTTGCTCGTAACACCTCGTTAGTCGATTGGTCTTTAACGAGACTAGCGAGCATGGTGTCTCAAATTCAATTCCCGATTGTGTTTGTGTTGTTTAATGTAGGTAATGCGATTTGTCAAAAATATTTTTGTACTAGTACGATCCCAGTGTTAGGTATAGGTTCAATTCCTATTTCATGAAAATATACACTTTTTTCTGGGGGGAAAATCATCTAATCACTGACTAAAAACCAACCCGTTCTACTCCTGCACTTAAGCCCCCGTGGCTCCGAAAAATATAAATAGGTTACCTATTTTTGCACGTGCACCTCTGCCTACCCCATTAGGGATTAAAGTAGGTACTTGACATTCTGTTTCCATTAAAATAAATCTCGTAATTTAATTTGTACTGTAAATTCATTGATCTGTTTCAAACATTTGTGTTTAATCGTAAAGCGTAGAGTAGGCACACGTTTAGTATTAGTAACATTTCATTAACCTCTGTGCTCATCCACCCTTTAGTTAAGTCGTGTAGATAATTTCATTACGGCTCCACATCAAACTGTAAAAAACCAGTATAAACTGAGCTTCGAATGTGCGGAAGTGTCATACAAAGCCAGACCATAATAAACTGGATACTACGTCTCGATTTCTAGTAGTGTCCCTTTGAAGTTCAGTGTAATGTAAATGGGTTCCACGCATGCGCGCAATTATTGATTAGGGCTCCCCTTCCCTTTGAAACCTAAGGTCATTCAACTAAACTCAGTAACTGTAAAACACTTTAGTCTGTCTGCGCATTTTCTATGCTTTAGTCGATTTTCGTAACGATTCTTAAAATCGCTTAGTGAAACCATACATTTTGGGCATAGACAAAAGATTTAGAAACGTCTATTTGACATAAGTCTTGTGTCAAACATAACCTCGATCTTGAATAGTTTGTTTGTTTGCCGGTTTTGAGCATTAGATGTTTTAAAACTTTAAAAATGAAAGATACACCTGGAGAAATTGATACTAGAAATGTCGTTAAGAATCGGGAGCTGCTTTACCGCATGATAATAAGGTAATTGATGTCAATTTTCCGTTGTACACCTTAAGTTTAAACGTCGTATATTACCGTGCAAATATTTTTGTTATAATTTCAAAACAAATGTAAATAAACTTAAATAATTCATTGTATTCTCTTTAAAACTGTTTATTTTAGTGTTAAAATACCACCATATGTTTTAATTTATAGGTTAAATATGTTTATTATAGGTCCGATTCATTTTCAAACTAAACATATTTTTATCTTCCAGTCAATTGTACTACGATGGATTCCAGCCTATTGCCGCGACATTGGCGTCGGCTGTTCATGCTGACCCGCCATGTCCACCCAGCGACCGGTTAGTAGAATAAAATTACTTAAAAATGAACAAAATAAGAAATGGAATCATTATGTGGTGTCATGCACATATTTTCAACAGTTATATTAAAACTAGACCATAACTAACTGCTAGATTCATTTTACTGATGTTTCTGAGTCATAAATATAATCTTAAATAAGTATAGAGAATACTATTAAAATTGTTAAAGAAATTTACTCATTAGATTTCTGATTGCCTCATTGGCGTGTGGTCTCAAATGCGACTGCTGGGCAAGGGGTCTCGGGTTTGATTCCCAGGACAGGCAAAGTTATTCTGGGTTTTTAAGAAAAATCTCAGTAATAGCACGGAGTCTGGAATGGCAATAGGCCCACCCCCAATTACATGGGACTCATAACATAAAAGTGAAAAGTGGGTGTTACATTGTACAGTGGCATTAAGCGCCGTAATGGAATAAAAAGATGTGATGTTATGATGTTAAGATTTTAATTTACTTAATTAACCCTTTGAGTACCCTCATAATAGACACAATTAAAGAACAATAGGTTGCGGTCACCGGTGACCGCTTGGTGTTTGACAGTTTAATTAACTACAATAGATAAGTAGCTAATTAGACTACATGTATTATAATGTGTATGTTTGTTTAGACTCCTGAATCTAATGATGGTGGGCCTGCAACATGAACCAGATCGCAAGGACAGGCTCGCAGCTTCCAGCGGAGCTGAACATCTGCTCGGAACTACTGGATTTGGTGAGTAGATACTAGAGTACTGAAGGCGAACAGGCAAACCAATTGTGACAATTTATTTTTTTATTATTTTACATTGGTCACCTTGGTCATCTTAAGCTCATCATATTACTAGCTTTTACCCATGGCTTCACTCGCGTCACAAAAGGATAAAAAGTATATAATATATAGGTCACATAGGCTACTTTACACACAGCGCCATCTATACCAATACTTTTAGTTTTCAGCAGCCTATATATGCCCACTGCTGAGCAAAGCCTCTTCTTACACGGAGAAGGTTTGAGAATTAATCACCACGCTTGCTCAATGCGGGTTGTGCGATTACGAAACTTATAATTAGAAATTATAAGGCCAGGTTTCCTCACGATGTTTTCCTTCACCGTTTGTCAGTGGTGTCTAGATAATCTTAGAAAGTACATATAACTCGGAGAAAGTCACATTGGTACTTGCCGTTGGTAGGTTTCGAACCTGTCCCCTCATGCATGAGAAGCATCTTAAACCTCCATGCCACCACGACAGAGACAAAAAATATATGACCTTATATATTTTTCCCCTCCCCAGACCTTGAATATGAAATGGACGCTTCATCCCTGGCTCCGGAGCCGGCTACCTACGAGACTGCTTACGTCACGTCACACAAGATGGCGTGCAGAGCCGGTGCCTTCAGTGCTTGTGGGCAACTGGTCGCTACTGGATCTGTTGATGCTTCTATTAAGGTATTTATTAAACTGTTGATTGGGTTATTGGGGAGATTTTAATATGTATGTAGAAAGATTTAAAGGCTTTTGCTTAATTTAAAGAGAAAACCTCGTAAACAGTACATATAACCTCACGCCTTTTATCTGTAAAGTATATTTTTTTTTAACTTCTCGCGCCAGGTGGGAGTTTTAGACTCTTAGTGACTTAAAAACCACCCCGTTCCAACTCCTGCACTTCGAGCCGGAGCCCCGGTAACCCGTTAGGTTCAGGGGTAGGCAGAGGTGCACATTACGGCACTTAATGCCACTGTACAATGTTACACCCACTTTTCACTATTTATGTTATGAGTCCTATGTAATAGGGGGTGAGCGTATTGTCATTTACCGGGCACATTTCCAGAATACCCAGTAATACTTTGCACCATCCGGGAATCAAACCTGAGATCCCTTCGGAATTCTGTTTACAAGCTGACTGCCTCGCTGGCCGAGTGATCGCAAGCGCGACTAGTGTTACCAGTCCACAGTCCTACCTTTGTTTCTCATTATCGATAATAGTCCTACACTAACCGGGGACTGTCCTTGGGTGCATTTCCATAGTGCATACAGGGATAGTCGCCGGTTTGTGTCTCCATTGCATTTAGATTAAAGTTGTCTAAAGGGCCTCTGCGCAGTTGGCTTCGGCCCCTCGTACGCCTCCCAAAAGACCGGGTGGCTTACTCTTGAATCCAATACCGATCGATCGACATTGGTATTGTGAAATTTCGTACTCTTGAGTTGCAACACTAGCGCCCATTGCATCTGTATTGCGTGGATATTGAATGAACTAAATGGTATTGAGTTTGGCTTTATATTCCGTACTCTGAATGCTATTTTAACAGCTACGATAGGGGTTGTACAGTTTTGACATTGGGTAGTTATTGAGATTTTATTGGATTGAAATTGCATTGACATTGAGATTGGTTTCAAGAGTAAGCAAGCTGGACTCTGTGGTACCGTGATTGATAATAACATACATATTGATACTAACTGCTGTACAATGTGTCTTAGATTTGATTCTCGCTTGAAACAATTTTCTGTGTGATCTATAGATTGTTGTGTTTGTTATAGATTCTGGACGTGGAACGTATGTTAGCGAAGTCGGCGCCGGAGGAGGTGGATCCAGGGAGAGAACAACAGGGTCACCCCGTCATTAGAACATTGTGAGTTTAGTTATGATATACTAGCTTTTACCCGCGGCTTCGCTCGCGTCACAAAAGGATAAAAGGTCGCCTATGTGACATATACCAATACATACAGCGCCATCTATACCAATACTTTTGTCGCGGAGAACCTAACGGGTAACCGGGGCTCCGGCTCGACGTGCAGGAGAAGGAACGGGGTGGTTTTTAGTCAGTAAGAGTCTGACACTCCCTTCCGCCTCACCCGGGCGGGAGCAGTCATTCGATGATTTTCCAACCTTAAAAAAAAAATACCAATACTTTTGTTTTCCCTCGGGAATATCAAATTCTTTCGGGATAAAAAGTACCCTATTATTTAATCCAGACTACTAAGTTTACGTCTGCAAAAATTCAATGCAATCGGTTTAGTAGGTACGGCGTGAAGTCGGAACAAACATACAAACTCACTTTTCGAAATATAATATTAGTAAGGATCAAGCATTTTATCCCCGAAGGGGTAGACACAGGTATAAATTACGGCACTTAATGCCGCTGTACAATGTAACAACCACTTTTAACTGTTTATGTTATGAGTCCCATGTAATAGTGGGTGAGCCTATTGTCATATACCGGGCACAATTCCAGACTCCGTGCTACTACTGAGATTTTTTTACCAACCCAGTAATATTTTGCACGACTGGTCCACCCCGTGCCTAATGAATGTTTATTTGTGTCGAATAATATTAATACAATATTTTTTATCTCTTTCCCTAGATACGACCACACAGACGAGATCACAGCGCTGGACTTCCACCCCCGGGAACAGATCCTGGTATCCGCCTCCCGAGACTGCTGCATCAAATTGTTTGACATCACCAAGGCGTCTGCTAAAAAGGCTTACAAGTCTATCACTGTAAGTAACTATATTACTATATTCATCATCATCATCAACAGCCTATAAATGCCCACTGCTGAGCAAAGCCTCTTCTCACACGAAGAAGGTTAGAGCATTAATCACCACGCTTGCTCAATGCGGGTTGGCGATTTCAAACTTATAATTAGAAATTATAAGTCCAGGTTTCCTCACGATGTTTTTCCTTCACCGTTTGTCAGTGGTGTCTAAATAATGTTAGAAAGTACATATAACTCGGAAAAAGTCACATTGGTACTTGCCGTTGGTAGGTTTCGAACCCGCACCCTCATGCATGAGAAGTGGGCTTCTTAAACCTCGGGGCCACCACGACTAGTAACTATATTACTAATCTATATATATACTAGCGGACCCAACAGACGTTGTCCTGCATATCCACTTGAATGTATAAACAAAAATTCATTCAAATTAGTTCAGCTGTTTAGGATAACTAACCTAAACATCGCCTGCAGCACTGCAGCGCCATCTGCTGGGCTGATTTGTGAATCTAAACCATTCCCAGATCCCATTGAACACATACAAAAAAATTCATCAAAATCGGTCCAGTCGTTTGAGAGAAATTCAGTGACATACACACTCACAGAAGAATTATATATATGTATAAAGATAAAAAATCTTAGGAAAGTGAAAACTGTACATCGAGTTTTTTTAAAATAATGCTTTGGGCGTGATCTTCAAGCGATACCGAAACCAAAAATATGGTTTTTAGAATTTTTGTCTGTTTGTCTGTATGTATGTCCGGAATGAACTCAAAAAATGCTGCATGGATTTACTTCAAATTTTGCATGAATATTACTAACAGTTCGGGTCATAGGCTACATATTATCATGCTATCAACTACGGGGGATTAGCTGTGAATCACTATTCAACGCAGACGAAATCGCGGGCTCAGCTAGTAATAAATAAATGTATAGCATTTATTTTATTTTAAGCAAAATAAAAAATAAATAAATGTATAGCATTTATTTTTATTATTTTTTTATTTTGGTATAAGCCGGTAAACGAGCAGGCGAATCACCTGATGGTAAGCAATCGGCGTCGCCCATGGACACCTGGAATACTACAGGCGTTACAAGTGCGTTACCGGCCTTTTGGGATTAGGAATTTGTGCATTGCTGGGGATTCAGGGTTTGGGAAAGGGTATTAGTGGTAGTTTCATCATAATACGGTAGTTTATTTTAATGTAAATGTAAAAACAGGGAATCTAACCCGAGACCCCTTGCCCGGCAGTCGCACTCGCGACCATTCAGCCAATGAGGCTGGCAATTTTTAAAATGCGACCTTCTTTACGCATGCTCCACTCAAAAAAACCCTTTTAACAAATCCCCTTTTGTTCCAGGATGCAGAACAAGTACTTTGCGTGGCCTTCCACCCACTAGGTGACCATATAATAGCGTCCAGCACTCAGCCGGTGATCAGACTGTATGACGTCACCACGAGCGCTTGCTTCGTATGCCCAATACCATCCCACCATCATACAAGACAAGTTAATTCTATACAGTAAGTAATCACATCACTTCATACTAATATTATAAATCGGAAAGTGAGTTTGTTTGTTTGTTTGTTCCGCTTTCACGCCGTAACTACTAAACCGATTGCATTGAATTTTTGCAAACGTAAAGTTAGAAGTCCGGATTAAATAATAGGATACTTTTTATCCCGAAAAAATTTGATATTCCCGAGGGAAAACAAAAGTATTGGTATAGATGGCGCTGTATGTATTGGTATACGTCACACAGGCTACTTTTTATCCTTTTGTGACGCGAGCGAAGCCGCCGGTAAAAGCTAGTATATTATAAAGTCGCTATCCGCCGTCTGTCTGTCCATATGTATGCTTAGATCTTTAAAACTACGCAACGGATTTTGATGCGGTTTTGTTTAATAGATAGAGTGATTCTTAAGGAAGGTTTATATGTATAATACATGCATATTGCACCCGTGCGAAGCCGGGGCGGGTCGCTAGTATTATAATTATATTTTATGGGACTAGCCGGTAAACGAGCAGACGGATCACCTGATGGTAAGCAATCGACCTCGGGCTTGGACACCCGGAACACCAAAGGCGTTACATTTGCTTTACCGGTCTTTAGGGGATTAGGAATTTGAGGGTTGTTGGTGATTCAGGGATTGGGGAGATTGGGAAGGGGGGATGGGGTAATTGGGCTTCCGGTAACCTCACTCTCTCGGCGAAACACAACGCAAGTATAGGTTTACGCCGGTTTACTGGACCCCGGTATCACTCCGATCGAGCCGGCCCAGCAGTGCCGAAGCATGGCTCTCTCATTTTACAATCACAATACAGCCTATAAGTGGCCACTGCCTACCAAAAGCCTCTTCTCACACGGAGAAGGTTTGAGTATTAATCACCACGCTTGCTCAATGCGGGTTGGCGACTTCAAACTTTTAATTAGAAATTATAAGCCCATGTTTACCCACCATGTTTTCCTTCACCGTTTGTCAGTGGTGTATAAATAATCATAGAAAGTACATATTACTCGGAAAAAGTTACATTGGTACTTGCAGTTGGTAGGTTTCGAGCTCGCACCCTTATGCATGATAAGCGGGCGTCTTAGACCTCAAAGCCCCGGAGGTTATGCGCTGGGGTCGTGCCGTCATCAGACCACTACGGATGGGGCTCAATAGGTCGATTCGGAGTCGCGGAGAATTTAACGGATTACCGGGGCTCCGGCTCGAAGTGCAGGACTAAGAACGGGGTAGTTTTTAGTCAGTAAGAGTGACACTCCCTCCCGTCTCATCCAGGTGGGAGAAGTTAGTCGATGATTTTCCCCCCTTAAAAAAAAGACCTCAGCCACCACGACATCAATTTTATACCACACTAGCAGCCCGTCCCGGCTTCTCACGGGTTAGACAATTATTTGGATTGGATTGTTGCAGTGACATAACTACAATAGTTGGACATATGCACCGCGGAGTTTTTTGTAGGCATTATGATGTTCTTCAATATTGTTGTACATTATTTTGTTCTATCGCTAATAGTTTCGGCAGCGCATTCGACGAAAGACATTTTAAGACTCATTTTTCTACACCTTCGGTTACATTGTTCAAATTTTACCAAGGATCCCTAATTTTTTTCAAAATGAAATGTAGCCTATGTCAAATTGGAAGAATGTAGCATACTATGGTTGAAAGAATTTTTTAAATCGGCCCAGTACTTTTTGAGCCTATTCATTACAAACATACAAACATACAAACATACAAAAATAAGTACAAATCTTTTCTCTTCATAATATTAGTATAGATAAAAATGATAATATTATCTTTTACCATCAGATTTTCGCCAAACGGCAAGTACTTCGCGAGCGGTAGCGCTGACGGATGCGTGAAACTGTGGGACACAGTGTCGAACAGATGTTTCAACACTTTCATAAATGCACACGACGGCGCTGAAGTCTGTTCCGTCGCGTTTACTAGGAATAGCAAGGTAAGAAATACTATACCTACACTATACGTCGCGGAGAACCTAACGGGTTAACGGGGCTCCGGCTCGACGTGCAGGAGAAGGAACGGGGTGGTTTTTAGTCAGTAAGAGTCTTACACTCCCTCCCGCCTCACGCAGGCGGGAGCAGGCATTCGATGATTTTCCCCCATTAAAAATACCTACACTATATACCTAGTACTATAAAGCTAGAGAGGCTGCCTCGGCCTCGGCCTTGGCCGCGACTGTGGCGACTGCCGGGCAAGGGGTCTCGGGTTCGATTCCCGGGTCGGGCAAAGTACTACAGGGTTTTTTTAAAAAATCTCAGTGGTAGCACGGAATTCTGGAATGTGGTGAAAAGTAGGTGTACGTACACATAGATTCCTCTCTATATATGTTTTTTATTTATTTTTTAAACTTTTTTTAGTATCTGCTAACATCTGGCCTGGATTCGTCTATAAAACTCTGGGAGTTAGCCAGTAGCCGATGTCTGATTCAATATACCGGCGCGGGAACCACAGGTAAGATTACAAAATAGAGGTACATTTTGTGTTGTCTATAAATATAAAAAAATAATATAATTTTAGCATAAATTAATCACACTTCACTAATTTACCCGTTTTTAATCCCCAAGGCAAGCAAGAACACCACGCTCAGGCAGTATTTAATCACACAGAAGATTACGTAATGTTCCCCGATGAAGCTACCACTTCACTCTGTACTTGGCACTCCCGTAGCGCCAGTAGGTGCCAACTAATGTCTCTGGGGCATAATGGCGCTGTCAGGTGAGTGTTCGTTGCTAATCACCACTTTGAGTAATTTATGTGAGTTAATCACCAGTTTTAGTAAATGCCAGTTTAATTAATCGTCGTTACTAGATTTAAATATCGAGAAGTATTAATTTTTAGCCGTTTATAGCTGTTAGTTATTTTTTATTAACTAACTTTTATGTGAACAACTTAATATTATAATAATCATATCAAAATCTAATTTTAAACAGAACAAATTATAATGGCAAAGAAAAAAGTATAATTATTCCCCAAGTCAAGCAATTTTAATCACCGATCCAAGCAACAAATCACCAATCCGAGCAATTCCATTACAGGTTTATAGTGCATTCAGGCACTGCACCAGCGTTTTTGACATGCAGTGACGATTACCGTGCAAGATTTTGGTATAGAAGAAATACACATTAACATTGGCCCGTAGAATCTTATGATAGCGATGATGAATAAATATTCTATTTGGAAAATCATTAAAAATGCCGTTTTGACAGTTTTTTTAATTGGAGTTGAGTATAGGGTTAAAACACGATTTTTTATGGTATAACCTAGTTAACAGGGATATGGAGACCCGGAACACTAGAGGCGTTACAAGTGCGTTACCGGCCTTTTGGGATTTTGGAATTTGAGGTTTGGGGTTTTCGGGAATTGAGGAGACTAGGGAGGTGGAGTAATTGGGCCTCCGGTAACCTCACTCACACGACGAAACACAACGCAAGCGTTGTTTCACGTCGGTTTTCTGCTCGGCCGTGGTATCACTCCGGTCGAGCCGACTCATTCATGCCGAAGGATGGCAGTTAAAATTTTAGTTTTGAGATTCTAAGTCTAAAATCACTAGATAGATTAAACCAAAGTCGCCTTTTCTCTCTATCCCTATGTGTGTTTAGATCTTTGAAACTACGCTACGGATTGTCGCATTTTTTTATGTTATAAGCCTGTAAAAGAGCTGTCGATTCACCTGATTGTAAGCAATCGGCGTCACCCATAGACACCCGCCCAAAACACCAGAAGTGTTACCGGCTTTCTGGGGATTAGGAATTTGAGGATTATTGGGGAGACTAGGGAGGGGGGGCATCGCGCGTGAACGGCTGGACCGATATCGCCATTTTCTTTGTTATATTTCGCTACTACTAAAATTTTGCTTACACTAGCACCCTTAAGCCAAATACATAGAAGGAAGAAAAATAGAAAGAAAAACTATTTGTTACGCCACGACACACACGTAGTCAAGAATATAGGTACACACAAAAAGCTCATGGTGCGTAACAACGCAAAAGGCCGGGGCTCATCTTAATACTGCGGCCCGGGCACAAACATAAGGATCAAAATTCAATTAAACATAACATAACATCATCACGCCTTTTATCCCCGAAATGCAGAGGTGCACATTATACCACTGTACAATGTAACACCCACTTTTCACTATTTATGTTATGAGTCCCATGTAATAGAGGGTGAGCCTATTGCCATATACCGGGCACATTTCCAGACTCCGTGCTTCTACTGAGATTTTTTGAAAAAACCCAGTAATACTTTGCCCGACCCGGGAATCAAACCCGAGACCCCTTGCCCGGCAGTCGCACTTGTGACTACTCGGCCAACGAGGCAGTCAAATTCAATTAAATTAACTGTAAAAAGCTTTTATTAAAATTTCAAATGGTTTCGCAATTCATCGCTGCATAAGATTCTACTTATTTGTCTAACCATTTCTCAAAAAATGCTAGACAATTATTCTTAAAACTCTATATGTTACACTTTTATGTAATAAAAAATTGTATTGAAGATGTTTTTAACTAAGTACAGATATTTTTAAGTAAGTAGTCAAAGGTCAAAAGTCCACTGCCACCGTGATTGTTTTTCACACGGCAATGCGTAAGTAATTTCATATTAATGTGCATAAAAACGCGTGCGTACATACCATACGTACATCATTATCATCATCATCAACAGCCTATAAACGCCCACTGCTGAGCAAAGCCTCTTCTCACACGGAGAAGGTTTGAGCATTAATCACCACGCTTGCTCAATGCGGGTTGGCGCTTACAAACTTATAATTAGAAATTATAAGTTCAGGTTTCCTCACGATGTTTTCCTTCACCGTTTGTCAGTGGTGTCTAAATAATCTTAGAAAGTACATATAACTCGGAAAAAGTCATATTGGTACTTGCCGTTGGTAGGTTTCGAACCCGCACCCTCGTGTATAATAAGCGGACGTCTTAAACCTCCGGGCCACCACTCACGTATACGTACACACGGATAAAAATATGCGTGTGCATGTGTGTATAAGCGCTGCAGCGCAACCGATAGTGGTTTAGGGAATTACCACTTTAGGGGTCCACCAATGCGGCGGAAAGTAAATAATATTTTAAATGTTAAATAAACTGTTTTTAAAATATAATATAATGTGAAGACGTTGTTTCATTGGAAAAATTATGACGTAAGAAAACAAAAGTATTGACAGATTCTATTGGAAGAAGAATACTAAAGAAAAGAGGTGAGCTAACTAATAGTAAAAAGTATGAATATGAGGAAGGTACAGAATAATGAAATGATGGCAGTGGACTTTTGACCTTTGACCTTTGACCTATATAAATAATCTTACTGTATATCCATATAAACATATACCAAATCTTATTTGTCTGTCTCTATATATAAGTAATTTTTCTAGAAAATTTCTCTAGCCTATGTAATCATTATTATATTCAATACAAAGTTAAATAAATTTCTAATAGCTTGCTTAGACCATTTACGAGCATGGCCGATTAATTTCGAGCGCGACCGGAGCCCGTAATGTAAGATAAGTAAGTTGTATACATTATATAATTTAGTATATGTCATTATAGTTATTACTAACATTTAACTGCATATTCAATAGTTTTTAGAGCTACGCCGTGTATTCGTTAGCAAATTGGGTACTTTCATTAATCAAAAATAAATTATTTCGACTGTTCAATACAATAAAATATTCAAACATAATCACACTTTCATTAATTGATTTATGACCAATTTAATTTTAGTATTTTTCCAGCAAATTTTTAAGAAATAAGTATGCTGCTTGACGCTTAAAAAACGTGACGTCACAATACACAATCTCGTACAAAATTCATAGAAAACTGTCGTTTTTGACAGTTCGAAAAAAGTAATGAATTTGTATTGTAACTTTCGTGAGACATACTAAATAAATTATTATGTTTTCGGCTTACTCACGTAATAACGACAGTAGCAGCGCGACAGTCGCCGCGTCGGGGTTCACGAAATGCTGCTCATGAATATGAGCCTCTAGTATGGCTTGAAACTAGTCGAGTTCCTCGTCAAATTATTACGTGAGTAAGCCGAAAACAGTAATTTATTTAGTATTGAATTTGACTAGTCGGCAAGTACTCAATTAGTAAAAGGTATATACTGTATCCGTATTTAAACTTGAACTATTAAATGTCTTCAATGTAAAATTTTGTTTTATTTTACCACTCAAATTGTCCAACGTAAACAGATAAATAAAATTGCAATGTCTGTTTGTAATATTAAATTATTGAGTGCCTTTAGCCAAACGCCACTTAAGCGCTTGTCTACAGAGAGAGTAGAAAACAAAATGTATGGGGATGACACTGACAAGTGTCAAAATTTACGTCAATTCCATATAATTTAGTTTTCTAGTCTACATGTAGACAAGCGCTAAATGGCATTTGGCTAAAGCTGGTGGATACACGCACCACTATTATAAAGTGCGAGGTCACTCCTGATTCTCAAGGCAGGGGCTACCCTGCTTCGATTTTTTTATTTCTTACCCTGGCTGCTAAGCCAGGGTAAGGAATTAAAAAATCGAATTAGTCCGTCAGTTAGATAACGAAAAAATATTAGACACGTATTTTTTTATTTTCTCGTATAAAGTTACAATACTTAGATAAAATGGCGTTAAGTTTAGGAGTGGGGGAGGTCGTTACGTCACAACGTGCTACAAAATGTTGCACGCTGTGACGTCACACGATAATTATTTCAAATTAATATATCGTCGAAAGTATTTAATTTTGTGAGTAAAGAAAAATACGTGTCTAATGTTTTAATTCAATCTACAAGACGGACATTGAAATATAATTAATGAAACTACCCTATATTGTACCATTTTACACGTTTTTAAAGCTAGTATCGGGGAAAAAACCGCAAATGCAGCCGCTTGTATTAGTTTTCTCGTTTCGTAAACTCACACGTTTAGAAAACCGCTGCCGGTTTAAGCGCTTATTACACAACCCGAAATGAAGGGCCCTGCATCCAGGGTGGGCGTATATCTTAGTTAGTACGGCGCTTATTACACTTCTCGGCGACTTGGGCCCTAACTCAGTTTATATGCGAATGTCTAGAAAGATAAATGTAGTGTCGCATTTTACATTATACCGTCGTCAGTATTGAAACTTCAAAAAGTTGCTGTAGCAATGATAACCATGCTCGCAATAACTTTAAAAGAGAAAGATCTGGGTGCTTACTCTTGAATCCAATTCCGATCGATCGACATTGGTATTGTGAAATTTCGTACTCTCGATTTGCAACACTAGCGCCCATTGCGTCCGTATTGCGTGGATATTGAATGAACTGAATGGTATTGAGTTTGGCTTTATATTCCGTACTCTGAATGCTATTTCAACAGCTACGATAGGGGTTGTATAGTTTTGACATTGAATAATTATTGAGATTTTATTGGATTGAAATTGCATTAACATTGTGATTGGTTTCAAGAGTGAGCACCCTGGTTGAAAGAATATTTGCGGCAACGTGAAAAGGTTTCAAATACGCAAATACTAAGCGTGCTTGAACCGGGAAATTTAAGGAATTATCTCAGAGTAGGTGCAAAACAATTTGAACACTTATTGAGTTAGGTGACACCTTACATATTAAATCAAGGTACGGTATCTCCATAACCGCCCTAAACGTAGGAGCTAGGCAGATCGGAATGACCCGAATACCCGATCGCCCTTAATCGGGACACTAACTCCGTAAGTCTTATTACACCACTCTTACTTAGGGTTAGGCTCCTTCGAAATAGGATGGTCTAATAAGGCCTTTAACCTTAATGCGGTCTAGGCCTGAAAGACTAAGAAAATATTGATTTACTGTCTAAAATTTAGGAAAAATTGACTTACCTGGCTGTACAACTCGACAGACGACTCCCCCTTCAGCTGGTGTCCAGTCAGGTACGTATTGTGACTGCTCGCTATGTAGTACTGTGACAGTGGTCCAGTCATATCTTTGGATATAGACTTGTGGACCTCCTCCTCCTCTTCTGATGATGTTGATGTTTTTCTGTGAATAATTATGTTGGCTTAGGTTTTTATGACTTTTTTTTAAGGGGGGAATATCATCGAATGACTTCTCCCGCCTGGGTGTGGCGGGAGGGAGTGTCAGACTCTTACTGACTAAAAACCACCCCGTTCCTACTCCTGCACTTCGAGCCGGTGCCCCGGTAACCCGTTAGGTTCTGCGCGGCAGCTTTCATTTAATATTTGCAAATATGGGTACATAATATGTATTAAATAATAAAGTTTACAGTTTATCTGTATTTTGCCTTTTCACTTGGCATGCAAAGATATGTTATAAAAGTAATTATAATAATATAATAAAATTAGGTTCATTGAATTGAATCACATAATTGTAATGTTGTTAGAATACAATTATGTTAAAGAAATTATAATTATTGTTACCACTTAAGTCAAAAATTGAATGTCAAATTACTTGACTGTTGAGTGTTGACTTTCGACTGTTTAATTTCTGAATCATGATTTTTAACTTTAGCATTATTAACTTGACTGTATATTTGACAGCTGGCTCTTGACTGTTGACTTTTAAATGTAATTTTTAAAATATAATTTACTCTTCGACTTTTTGATATTGGAACTAATGACGCTTGACTTTATGATTAAGTACTGACATTTTACGACTATTGACCCTTTGACTTTTTGACTATTGTCTGTTTAACTTCGTTGACTTATCGAATACCGACTTTTTTGTCTTTTATAATTTTGACTTATCGACTCATAGCCTTTATCCATGTCTACAGAGAAATTAGAAATCAAAATGTATGTGGATGACACTGACAAGTGTGAAAATTTACGTCAATTCCATATGATTTGGTTTTCTATTCTACCTCTACATGTAGACAAGCGCTAAACGGCATTTGGCTACAGCTGCATGACTAACATGACTATGAACTTAAAGAAACAACTTACGACAAAAAATTCGCTCTCATCTGTTCAGGCACGAAGGCGTAGTTGTCTTTGTCCGTCAGGAATCTGACGAAACCTTCAAACGACAGGCAGTTGTCGGCTCGTAGTCCAGGGTCTGGTTCATGTCGCTGAAACAAAAGAAAGAGTTGTAAAAAACTTGCTTATGCTTAAACATAATAGGGTAGACGACTAATTTTTATTTTAATGTCCGTCTGATAGATTATTTAAAAACATTAGACACGTATTTTTTATTTTCTCACAGAAACGAATAGTTTCGAAGATATATTGATTTGAAATGTCGCGTGACGTCACTTCTCAGTACATTTTATACTAAGAAATGACGTTTTAGCCCCCACTCCTAAACTTTGATTCGTTTTATCTAAGTATTGTTTTATTATACGACAAAATAAAAAAATACGTGTCTAATATTTTTTCATTACCTAACTTACGGACTAATTATATTTTTAATTTTCATACCCTGTCATCATCCCCATTATGAAAGAAATCATTAATATTTGCACGCCGATGTTGAAGGCAAAATAAGAGGACCTAAGTTATTCTAAAATGACAATTACATGGGACTCATACCATAAACAGTAAAAAGTGGGTGTTAGATACATTGTGCAGTATCATTAAGCGCCGTAATGTGCACCTCTACCCTCCGGGGATAAAAGGCGTGACGTTATGTATGTAAGTGACACATGTAATAACGATGTTGATGATGATATTCTTACCTGTATAATATCTCTTAATTGTTGTTCAGTCTTGATCTCATTTTGTCTCGTCTCGCAGAACTTGCCCAGGGTAGGCAGGGATAGTACTCGGCCACTTACATCTGGACAGGCACCTGTTAACAAAGATAGAATAATCTGTTATTGTCTGTAAGTAGTAGAAAAACTAAGACTTCTTATTTACTAGCGACCCGCCCCGGCTTCGCACGGGTGCAATACACATGTTTTATACATGTAAGATGCTTTGTATAATGTGTGTGCGCAGCCTTATTACCAGCTTTGTGTTCGTCGCCTAACAAGAATGACGTTTGACACGAAGTGGGACAGTGACAGCTGACAGCAGCCCGCGCCTTTTTCGATAGAATGCAAAACCTCGGGTAGATTTAATAATGTAATATTTTCTAATTGTATTAAAGTTTTTTAGAAGAAAAGGTAAAGTGCTTTTTCAACTGATTAATGTAATACAGTGTCGATCTACTGAAATATTGGAAGTAAAAACCTTTAATTGTCGATTTTTCTGTTTTAGGTTGGTATTGGTAATGTGTACATGTTTGATCTTAATTAATTTGTGTGTTTCAATTGATGTTAACAATAAACTTTCTGTTTTAGATAAACCAAAATTGTGCGTTATTTGCTCCTGTATTATCCTACATATTACATACATATAAACCTTCCTTAAGAATCATTTTGATGCGGTTTTTTTAATAGATAGAGCTATTAATCAAAATCCGTTGCGTAGTTTCAAAGATTTAAGCAAAGGGACATAGGGACAGAGAAAGCGACTTTGTTTTATACTATGTAGTGATTAGCTGTTGCCCGCGACTTCGCCCGCGTAGAATATGATTCCTGTATTATATCATGAGAGCATTTAATCTGGGTAAAATCTAATCACTTAAGTCAGCTCATACCCTGTCTGTATATCAAATTTCATCATAATCTGTTCAGTAGTTTCAGTGTGATTGACGAATAAGCACCCAGACAAAGATTCTTTACATTTATTACTTTCACCCTTCGCGTTATCTACAAGAATTTTCGAAAATCAAACCCGAGATCCTTTTTTGGGACTCAGTTCACCATCTAATGGCCAATTAACGTTCTAAAGTTTTCAACTCAAAAATAAAAAAAAATGAATAATTTTTGCATGAAAAATGCAAAAAATGAATATATGGCAATAGGCTCACCCCCTATTACATGGGACTCATAACATAAATAGTGAAAAGTGGGTGTTACTTCTATGTGCACCTCTGCCTACCCCTTCGGGGATAAAAGGCGTGATGTTATGTTATGTTATGAATAATTTTTGCCCAGGGCTCGGACGCAAGATTCGTTACTCCGAAATAGGAATCAAAAACAATGTTCACTTCAAGGAGATCGTATTTTTTGGGCTATTTCAGAAAGCCAACAAAAAAAGGAACGTATCGTTAGATCTAGCCATGTGGAGCAATCCTTACTAATATTATAAACGGGAAAGTGAGTTTGTTCGTTTGTTTGTTTGTTCCACTATCACGCCGTAACTACTAAACCGATTGCTTTGAATTTTTGCAGACGTAAAGTTAGAAGTCCGGATTAAATAATAGGGTACTTTTTAACCTTTTTAAATTTGATACTCCCGAGGGAAAACAAAAGTATTGGTATAGATGGCGCTGTGTGTATTAGTATATGTCACATAGGCTACTTTTTATCCTTTTGTGACGCGAGCGAAGCCGCGGGTAAAAGCTAGTAGTTAATATGTCGTGAAAGTTGTAGGGCCCAAGATGAAGAAGTTATACCAGTTCGAAGATTCATTATTTTCATGCATTTATTGCTTTCTAAAGGTGCTATAGGACACGCAAAATTATGATCGATATTGCTAGAATATTTTTAATTTTCATATCCTGTCATCATCCCCATTGGGTAGTTGTAAGGGTAAGAAAATTAAAAATCTTATGAGTCCGTCAGTTTGATAATGAAAAAATATAAAACACGTATTTTTTTATTTTCTTTTATAAAGTTATTTAGATAAAATGGCGTTAAGTTTAGGGGGTGGGAGGTCGTTACGTCACAACGTGTTGTAAAATGTGGCACGCTGTGACGTCAAACGATATTTCAAATGATTATATCGTCGAAAGTATTGAATTTTGTGAGAAAAGAAAAAATACGTGTGTAATGTTTTAAAATAAACTACCAGATGGATATTAAAATAAAATTTAGGAAACTACCGTATTGTGATGGTAATGCGAAAAGGCCTTCAGAAAAGGTCTAAAAATAGAATATGGAGCTGAAATGATTTCCTTATATAAAATTGTTCTTACCCGGTAACGCAGCCGCTGCAAGGAGGTCGAATGCCTTCTTCCTACCCACTTTGTCACTAGGCGGTTCTAAATCTAAAGATCCATTTCTGGTTAGGAGACCTGAAAAAAAAAATAAAGAAGTAGGTACTTTTTAGTATAAGAAGTTATTTTTATAAGATTTTTCTTCTGTGTCGTGGGTACATGCTCTTCTGAACAAATAAATAATATGTAAATCACACAAATGGTTGTTCGCTGTAGCCACTGCGCCGTGCATTCAGTCTAATTAAACTTTATGTCCATGGTTTTTGTTATATGTTTATATTATCTGTGGCATGGAAAGCTGGCCACTTTCAAGAGTGGAAAACTTTATGTTCTTATTTTGTTTTATGAAATATATTCGTCTGACTAGCTTGTTTAATTCACACGTTAAATAATTATTGAATTACTAAAGCTACTAGCGTCATAAGAACCTTCTCCCAATAATAACAAATACAACAAAAATAGAATTAGTGAAATCGGTCCAGCCATTCACGCGTGATGCCGAACTTATTCAAATTCAAAGTCAAAGCATTTATTTCAATTAAACCATAATTTGGTACTTTTGAAACGTCAACAAATACAAAATAAATAATAGTCTGTTAGTCAGTCCGTCAGTGAAGCTAAGTGAAGCTAGGTGCTCATTCTAAAATGTAGATTCGAATGGAGAAGAACGAGAAAGAAACTCCATTCGTTACTCTTTTTAAAAAAGTATGTTCTACAATGTCTCTGATACATATTCCAATATTGTACGTATAGTGAGAACAAGTTTTAAAGGCGATTTCCTCAAATTGTGTTCTTAAAATTATAATTAGAAATCGTTTATAAGCGATTCAGTTTGACAACGTTGTAACAACATGCAAGCTACATTGAAAACTATACCTAAACTTTACAAAACATAAGACATAGAGTACATTATCAATAATAAATTCTCACCTGTCCTAAAGATCCCTCGACTTCGGAACAATTCGGGTGAACTTCGGCTCTTCTCGGCTCCGAACAATGGCGATCGATTCCTCGGTACAGCTAATTGGTCGAAAATATCGCGAAGTTCCGATCGCATTACCAAACTGGGGATAAAGAAATTCAAAATGATATTTAGACTGGCTTGGTAGACGAAACCACTGCTCTTTTCTCATGCATGAGGGTGCGAGCTCGAAGCCTACCAAAGGCTTGCCTTTGGTAGGCTTGGTATGGTACTTGTACCATCAACAGCCTATAAATGCCCACTGCTGAGCAAATTCTCTTCACACAAGGAGAAGGTTTGAGCATTAATCACCACGATTGCTCAATGCGGGTTGGCGATTACAGACTTATAGTTTAGAAACTATAAGCCTAGGTTTCCTCACGATGTTTTCCTTCACCGTTTGTCAGTGGTGTCTAGACAATGTTAGAAAGTACATATAACTCGGGAAAAAATCACATTGGTACTTGCCGTTGGTAGGTTTCGAACCCGCATCCTCGTGCATGAGAAGCGGGCCTCTTAAACCTCCGGGCCACCACGACACGTACGGCAAGTACCAATGTGACATTTTCCGAGTTATATGCACCTCTATATGTACTTTCAAGAATTATTTAGCTATCGGTATGGTACTAAGTAAGTAATATAGTAAGCTTTATGAAGAGACGAGTGGAAGTAGGGTAGGGAGGCCTTTGCCCTGCAGTGGGACGACCATGGCTAAAAATAAAATAAAAATATGGTAATGGAAGTACCCCCTATTACATGGGAATGATGGAAGGATCTTTAACATTACTGTACTTAAGTAAAGTTGAGAGTCAAAATTTGCTCCAGTTCCTACTCCTTTAGGGAATAACAATTCTCAACTTTGTGCTACGAATGCCCAAATACTGAAACGTTACTCAATTTTAAGTCACGCTTAAGTATAGTTCAGTCACCACTAATTCTTTGTGAAATGACAGAGATGTAACAACCCACTTTTCATTATTTGTGTTATGAGTCCCATGTAATAGGCGGTGAGCCTATTGCCATAAACCGGGTACAATTCCAGACTCCGTGCTATTGCTGAGATTTTTTTTTAAAACCCCGTAATACTTTGCCCGACCCGGGAATCTGACCCGAGACCCCTTGCCCAGCCGTCGCACTTGCGACCACTCGGCCAACGAGGCAGTCTCAGTAGTAATTAGGTATTATATAAGTGACAGAGGCAGAATAATATATACATACAACATAATAAATAGATAAGTATTAATACAATTTGTGCCCTGTGACTGCCTCGTTGGCCGAGTGGTCGCAAGTGCGACTGCCGAACAAGAGGTCTCGGGTTCGATTCCCGGGTCGGGCAAAGTATTACTGGGATTTTCAAAAAATCTTAGTAGTAGCACGGAGTCTGGAATTGTGCCCGGTATATGGCAATAGGCTCACCCCCTATTACATGAGACTCATAACATAAATAGTGAAAAGGGGGTGTTACATTGTACAGTGGCATGTACACCTCTGCCTACCCTTTCGGGGATAAAAGGCGTGATGTTATGTACTTTATCCTAGAAATTGAACTTGCAAACCCATGCTCGGTCGTAAGTCGTCCTGGCGATCATTCGACCGCCAGGGTAGTTTATAACACACTAGCTTTTACCCGCGGCTTCGCTCGCGTCACAAAAGGATCGAACGTAGCCTATGTGACATATACTAATACACACAGCGCCATCTATACCAATACTTTTATTTTCCCTCAGTAATATCAATTTTCCGGGATAAAAAGTAAGTACCATATTATTTAATCCCAACTTCTAACTTTACGTCTGCAAAAATTCAAAGCAATCGGTTTAGTAGTAACGGCGTGAGGGCGGAACAAACAAACAAACTCACTTTCCAATTTATAATATTAATAAATATTTCAAAACTAATAATTATTAATAACTAGCTTCTGCCCGCGACTTCGTACGCGTACCATCCCATTTTTTCCCGTCCCCGTTCGTGATTTTCGGAAAAAAGTAAAAAAAAATTTTTGGTTAAAAAGTATCCTATGTCGGTCTCCTGGCTCTAAGCTACCTCCCTACCAATTTTCAGCCAAATTTATTCCACCATTCTTGATTTATAAGTGGTGTAACTAACACGACTTTCTTTTATATATATAATATAAGATGATTGGTATATTAAAAGACTACCTGAAACTTCTGAAAAGCGTGACAAAGTCCATGAAGTCTAGTTGCGTGTCGTACCCCACGGAGCCAGTCCTCAAATGTTTCAGGTTCTCCCAAAATCTTTCACTGGTCTCCAGCCTTCTTAAACTGCAACAAAAAAGAGGTTTAAGGTTTAGAATGTGGTGTGTATTCTTATTTAAATTCACTTGACTCCAGAAAAGTTCGTGTGTTCAATGAAAGTCCAAAATAAAATAGGTAAAACTTTGTGTTTATATTATTGTTCTTAGAAATACACAATTCACAACTAATCTATAATATTACAAAATATTACTGGTTAACACCAAAGCTGGGAGACGACTGGCGTGCTAACGCTATAGGGTCGCAGGCGCAGCTACGCACTTGAGAACACATAAAAAATGTCAACACATTAGTGTCGCTACAAAGGTTATAAAAAGAGATAATATTATATTTTGATGCAATATTAAAAGTGCTTTTGGCTATTATTTTTATAAATCGGATGATGACAGCGTATGAAAATTAAAAATATAGGTAATTAGTCCGTCAGTTAGGTAATGAAAAAATATTAGACACGTATTTTTTATTTTGTCGTATAATAAAAGAATACTTAGATGAAACGAATCAAAGTTTAGGAGTGGGGGCTAAAACGTCATTTCTTAGTATAAAATGTACTGAGAAGTGACGTCACGCGACATTTCAAATCAATATAATTTCGAAACTATTCGTTTTCGTAAGAAAATAAAAAACACGTGTCTAATGTTTTTAAATAATCTACCAGACGGACATTAAAATAAAAATTAGTCGTCTATCCTATTGATGTTGATGACGATAATTTTTTTTAAATGATGCCCCACATTAGGATTTTCTCCTGTGTCGTGGGTGCGTTTACAAACATACAATATCACATACACCGCGCCAATCGTGCAGTCATTTAACGATACTAATTAATATTAAATTAGTATTGTTATAAAACAATTTAGGAAATAAACTAATATTATATTATTAGTATTTTACTTAAAATACGAAATCAAAATACCTCTAAATAACGACGGTATTCAAAAGTTAAAAAAAAACATGTGAGCAAAACACAAGTAGATGTTTTTCTAAAAAAATATCAAAATATTTACGCATCCTGTTAAAAGGTCAGTTACCCCTAATTGGGTCACCACCCCCTCTATAAGGTCATTATGTCAGAAGTCAAGGTCATCCGAATTAAAGTTAAGGTCGAAATGACAAGGATCAAGGTCAAAATATTACATAAAATGAGATTATTTATAATTAAAATACTGAAGATTTTTGAATTGATCATATTTATTTTTCGTATTGATTATTATTTTTTAAGGTTAATTCCTTAGTAAAAAATATATTATTTCGACTGTTCAATACACTACAATATTAAAAAAATAATCACCTTTCATTATTTGATTTTATGACCAACTTAATTTTAGTATTTTTCCAGCAAATTTTCAAGAGATAAGTATACTGTTTGACGCTAAAAAATCGTGACATCACAATACACAATCTCGTACAAAATTCATAGAAAATTGCCGTTTTTGACAGTTCGAAAAAAATATTGAATTTGACTAGTTGGCAAGTACACAACTGATTGTATTTACTTTTCGTATTAATTTTTAAGGTTAATTCTGTGAAATTTCATTTAAAAATCGTTATCGTAAAACAGTTTTGATAATGTTATTGAAATTGATAATTGTCATAGTAATCTTAATTTTTTTATATAAAACAGTGTTCTATTTGTAATGAAAAATTATCGTAATATTATTTACTATAAAGTTCTTATTGTATACAAAAAAAACAGTTATTTTTGCTGAACTTATACTTTCATTATGTATTGTGAATGTGAATTCAATTTTTTTATTCATCATCATCATCAACAGCCTATAAATGCCCACTGCTGAGCAAAGCCTCTTCTCACACGGAGAAGGTTTGGGCTTTGATCACCACGCTTACTTAATGTGGGTTGGCGATTACAAACTTATAATTAGAAATTATAAGCCTAGGTTTCCTTACGATGTTTTTCCTCACCGTTTGTCAATTTTTTTGTTAATTACACCTAATTTCCATTTTTACCAGAGTTTCTATCTTCTGATATTTCGACATCTATTAATCAACTTCTACAATTTTCACAAATATTCAGTTTTTTTTTAAATACGTTTCCTCTCTATAGGATTTTCTCCTGTGTCGTGGGTGCGTTTACAAACATACAAGTTCACATACACATGACACCTAGACCCGATACAACAACTTGTGGATCACACAAAGAGTTGCTCCGTGCGAGAATCGAAACTGCTACACATTGCGCGCGGTTGCCCAGCCACCCCGAGTAATTTTATCGATACACTCATTTATTTGGAGGTCAAGGTCACTCACCTGCTCCTATTAGGAGAACCAGCCATGATGCTGGTGGCAGCGGCTGTCAGACTGCTATGTCGAGGACCGTAGGAGTGGTGGTGACTCATCGATGATGAATAGGAACTGGGGAAGAAAGAAGTGATTTCATGTTAAAAATGTTAAGTCTAATTGTAGTGAATTGGGTACTTTCTATAATAAAAAATAAATTGGTATTATAACTTTCGTGAGACATCTATATGTATAAAAATGAAACCCGTTTTCCGTTGTCACGACATAGCATGAAAACAGCTTGACCGATTTGGCTGATTTTTTTTGTTGTATTTGTTATTATTAGGAGAAGATTCTTAAGAAAGAAAAATTGCATCTATCTATCTAGCATGCCTTGAATGATGATTACGTGATCGAACACATAATAATTTACAAAAACAAATAACAGTCAAAATAGGCTGTCCAATACAATAAAATATTAAAACATTCACGATTTTATGACCAACTTAATTTTAGTATCTTTTCAGCATTTTTTTTAGTAGAATGCTGTTAGACGCAAAAAAAACGTGACGTCAAAATACACAATCTAGTACGACATTCACCGAAAACTGTAGTTTTTGTCAGTTTGAATAAAGTAATGAATTTGGCTAGTTGAAAAGCCATGCTTCGGCACGAATGGGCCGGCTCGACTGGAGTTATACCACGGCCTCACAGAAAACCGACGTGAAGCAACGCTTGCGTTGTGTTTCTTCGTGTGAGTGAGGTTACCGGAGGCCCAATTACCCTCCCCTTACCTGTATCATCAACAATCCTCAAACTCCTAGTCCCCAAAAGGCCGGTAGTGTACTTGTAACGCCTTTGGTATTCCAGGTGTCCATGGGCGACGCCGATTGCTTACCATCAGGTAATCCATCTGCTCGTTTACCGGCTTATGCCATAAAAAAACCTGAGGCGTATTGGTGTATATTTCTTACTAGCTACTTCCGCGCGGTTTCACACACTATGCTCAGCTCCTATTAGTCGTAGCGTGATGTTTTATAGCCTATAGCCATCCTCGATAAATGCACTATCCAACACAAAAAGAATTATTGAAATCAGACTTGTAGTTACGGAGATTAGCGCGATCAAACAAACAAACAAAAAACAAACTCTTCTGCTTTATATAATAGTATCCTTACTTATATTATAAATCGGAAAGTGAGTTTGTTTGTTTGTTCCACTTTCACGCCGTAACTACTAAACCGATTGCTTTGAAATTTTGCAGACATAAAGTTAGAAGTCTGGATTAAATAATAGGGTACTTTTTATCCCGGAAAAAAATAATATTTCCGAGGGAAAACAAAAATATTGGTATTGATGGCGCTGTATGTCATTTAAAACCAATCAACGAATTAGCTACTTATTGGAAAAATCTAAATAGCGCGATATAACCGAATTCCACGCAAACGGAAGGCTATTTGTTTGTTTGCCTGCCTTAAACGGCAGAACGGAGGTACTAATAAGCGTGATTTTTTAACTGAAGGTAGTTGAAGGGATGGATAGTGGATAGTCACATAGGCTACTTACACAACATCATCAACAGCCTATAAATGCCCACTGCTGAGCAAAACCTCTTCTCACACGGAGAAGGTTTGAGCATTAATCACCACGCTTGCTCAATGCGGGTTGGCGATTTCAAACTTATAATTAGAAATTATAAGTCGAGGTTTCCTCACGATGTTTTTCCTTCACCGTTTGTCAGTGGTGTCTAAATAATGTTAGAAAGTACATATAACTCTGAAAAAGTCACATTGGTACTTGCCGTTGGTAAGATTCGAACCCGCACCCACATGCATGAGAAGCAGGCGTCTTAAACCTCCGAGCCACCACGACGACTAAACCGACTTACACAAAACCGCGGGTAAAAGCTAGTTTCTTATAAAGTACCTGTGTCTGGGAGATCCCTGTATGACCTCATCTTCGCTTCTGGTCCCCGATGTATGAGTGGAGACGAAACTCTTCGGTGAACTAGTTTTCAATTCCGATGTAGATTTGTTTTTCTGAAAGTAGAAATAATAGTGTTAGACTGCCTCGTTGGTTGAGTGGTCGCAAGTGCAAGGGGTCTCGGGTTCGATTCCCGGGTCGGGCAAAGTCGTTGTGATTATAAACTATTGTCGTATTTCATTAAATTTAACGAAACGTTAAAATATCTATAAGCTTTTATTTAACTTGAAATGACTTGTAAGTATTACTGGGTTTTTTAGGAAATCCTCAGTAGTAGCACGGAGTTTGGAATTGTGCCCGGTATATGGCAATAGGCTCACTCCCTATTACATGGGACTCATAACATAAATAGTGAAAAGTGGGTGTTACATTGTATAGTGGCATTGAGTGCTGTAATGTGCACCTCTGCTTACTAATTCGAGGATAAAAGGCGTAATGTAATGTTATGTAGAAAAAATAGTTGAATTATTCGGTTTGATTATGTTTTGTTCAAAACGAAAATACTGTTATTTTTAAATTATACATTAGCCCTTTGAGTACCGTCATTAAAGACACAAACTAGCAAACCCGGCGAACTGTGTTTCGCCACCAGATGGTTTCTTTTTATGTAACATTTCGTTTGGTGATTAGTGAATTTTCTTTGCTATAAACCTCACGGAGCCCGAGACCTTTCCAACGAATGCAAAACCGTGGAAATCGGTTCGTGCGTTCTGGAGTTATAGCGTCAGGAAGGAAAACCCGACTTATTTTTATATAGTATAAGATTAAGAACAATAGGTGTGCGGACACCGGTGTCCTCGCGGTGTTTGACAGTTTCAATTAGGTAATACCTAATTTTCAAGGTCAAAGGTCACAAGTGAAACAAGTGAATTTATTTCTGCAAATAGGCTACAAGGCAGCACTTTTACACGTCAATAAACACAAATCACATACTTTTTGATTGTCGTCTTGTTTTTTTTATTGCTAAGCCTTTAACTGCCGATAAAAACTGTTAAAGGCTAATCCTCCGCTAGCGTCTGACATCATTCATCATCATTCATTCATCACAGTGTTTGACGAATCATGATTGAAGCAGAAAAAAAATGTGAAAAGATAACCTACCTTAAATTTGATCCCAGACCCTCTGAGCGAGTCAGAATGAGAGTCAGTGTAGGTACCCTTGACTGGAGTGGAGTGAGACGAGCTGCCGCATGTGGACTCTCTTCCTCCAAAGACCTGAGGATGAGAACAATGGATATTAGTTATTATAAAACATTTAGAATTTTAACCTCTTTGGTCTTTATATTTGATGGGTCGACGTTTGACCACTATCTTGCCTGGTGGTAAGCGATGCTGCGGTCTACGATGGAGTACGGGCCTTGAAGACATCCAGGTTATACCTTTCAGGAAACACAGACTCAGGCAAAGAATTCCACTCCTTAACAGACTAATTCAACTGTGGGTAGAACATCAGAGCATCAGTGTGGGAGAGCCATGCTTCTGCACGAATGGGCCGGCTCGACCGGAGCGATACCACGGCCTCACAGAATACCGACGTGAAACAACGTTTGCTTTGTATGTCGTCGTACGAGTGAGGTAACTGATGGCCCAATTAGCTATTATTATTTATTATATTAAGCTTAGTTTTCTATCTGTAGACAAGCGGTTTAATTTTCAGAAAATGTTGATTTGTCCGTATTTTTATTGTACAAAAATCTTTTATTAGAATACGGAGCTAAATTTCACCATTTTTTTTAAGGTGGGAAAATCATCGAATGACTGCTCCCGCCTGGGTGAGGCGGGAGGGAGTGTCTCTCTCAGACTCTTCAGACTCTTACTGACTAAAAACCACCCCGTTCCTTCTCCTGTACGTCGAGCCGGAGCCCCGGTTACCCGTTAGGTTCTCCGCGACAAAAATTTCACCATAACGTGTCAAGTTTACCTTTAAATAGCTTGGCTGGGAAATCGGTGCCTTCCACGCAGGACACTCGGGTTTAATCCTCGGCCCGAATTTTCATTCATTTTATGTTTTGTTCCAATTTTTTCTTTTTTTTAAGCAAATCAAAGCTCGGTCTTGGTTTTCAATCCAGCGGAATTTTTGCTGGATTGACCTGAATCCAGCTCACCAGCTGGATCCAGCGCGGATCCAGCAAAACGTGGAACGAAAATAAAAAGACGGCCAAGCCAAGGCCAAGGAAAGCCAAGCCATCGTTCATCTCTGTCTCTAAGTCTTCATTGTCTTCGCATTCATCACTTTCATCTGTTGCGGCTTGTTCTACTTCCTTATGAGGTTTTTTCTTATATAGCACGTCCACCACAACCAACTGGATACCATGAGCGTAGCATAATTGTTGATAACAAGGCAAAAGTTTTCCAACTTTTACCATTACGGAGGCACTATCGGTAGTGATACCAATGATATCGGTTTCCATTACTAAGCCGAAAATATTCAGCCTTTCCGACAATAATTCAATGCAGTGTTCGGCAGTGCAGGAGCCATGAATTCTTGTCAACCCTAAATTCAAATGTTTATCATCATGGTGCAAGTTGAGATATATGTGTCTATGATTTTTTTGGGAGGTCCACTCGTCAAAACGCAATGAGAATCTTTGTCCTTTTTGCTTTAAATTAGTGAATTGATTTATAAAATTGATTTATAAAATAAACAAACATAAGCGATACAGTTGGTAAGGGGGAAAGGGGTCGAGCGGTGTTGCCTTCCATGCGGCACGTGCTATGGTGACAGAACGGCAACGTTGCCGCGCCGATTTGAAAATGGCGGCAACTCAAAACTAAACAATAGAAATTGATGCGTTTGCGGATCCGCATCGCTGGATCAAGATGTATGCTGGATCCAGCATGTTTAAAAAGGCGCTGGATCCAGCTGGATTGCTGTATGCTGGATCCAGCAATTGCAATCCCTAGTGGTGATTAATGCTCAAACCTTCTCCTTGAGAAGAGGCCTTGCTCAGCAGTGGGCATTTATAGGCTGTTGATGTATGTATGTATGTATGTAAAGCTCGGTCAACAAGATACTGAACCTTATGATATTTATTTATTTACACTTCTTGTATACAATGGCGGACTTAATACCTAGAGGCATTCTCTAACAGTCAATCTTAAGGTGATGCAGAGAGACACAATAGTAGGCGTAAAAGTCTAACACTGTTGTGAGTATTGAACATACATTGACATGTATTTAAGATATACTATATAATTGTACAGCGCTAAAATGAGCAGAGTGGAAAGAGATGGAGGAGGCCTTTGCCAAAGCTGGGCAAACAGACGAAGTTGTCGTTGTCAACGACTCACCAGAGTCACAATTATAAACTATTGTAATGTAAATACTTTGTCTGAATAAAGGCTTATATTATTATTATTATATAATTGTACACAATACTAATTAAATATAATGAAGAAGTAATAAAATATATACGTAATGCAAAACGAACAGTAGACAAATATGTATGGGACATATATATACCTAAATATACGAAGAAAAATATATAACACAATATAACATATATAGGTACACAAATAAATACATAAATACGTACAAGACGTAAGTGTGTGATATTATGTGTAAGGCCTCTTCTTCAATACTTACTCGTATAGCATCCGAGACTAAAGGCTCACAGCAGCACCCATCTTCATAGTACAATGCTGTATATTTGTTCTTCAGCCACGCTAAACTCCTGTCAGCTAGCTTAGCTTGACTCATGAGTGCTCTGATCACGGAGTGGAGGCCTACTGCCCATACTCTGAAAGAAAGAGGTTGAAAGAATTAGATGAAAGTGTATGTTGGGCATTTTTTTAGTATTGGGTGTGAATAATTAGACAATAATAGGGTAGATGCCTAATTTTTATTTTAATGTCCGTCTGGTAGATTATTTTAAATCATTAGACACGTATTTTTTATTTTCTTACAGAAACGAATACTTTCGACGATATATTGATTTGAAATGTCGCGTGACGTCACTTCTATGTACATTTTATACGTAGAAATGACGTTTTAGCCCCCACTCCTAAACTTTGATTCGTTTTATCTAAGTATTGTTTATTATACGATAAAATAAAAAAGTACGCATCTAATATTTTTCATTACTTAACTTACGGACTAATTGGATTTTTAATTATCATACCCTGTCATCATCCGAATTATATTAATGACTAGATGTTCCCCCGACTTCGTCCGCGTATGATAATGACTTCTGGCAAATACTGGATTTTTTAATTAGTCTATGTACATACGTTCGTTCGGGCTAAACTCAAAAACTACAGCATAGATTTACTTCAAATTTTGCAAGAATATTACTAACAAGTCGGGTCAACATATAGGCTACATTTTATCACGCTATCACCTATGGGAGAGGAGCTGTGAAGAACTATCCGAATTCCACGAGGATGAAGTCGCGGGCATCTACTAGAAATACAAGACCAGTTTTGAAATTTGTTTTTTTTTGTTTTTTGTATATTTAATTTCTTCTTATATCAAAAACTTATTGTATTGTTTCGTATTGTATGTACCTCTACATTATTTTGTTATATTTGATGATTTTTGTTCTTTTCTTTACGCTTTTAAGTTTGTTATTAATATTATGTATTTATGTATGCATCTGTTATTTTTATTTTTCATAATCTTTGTTTGTGTGCCATTTGCCAAATAAATGCTTTTTCTTTCTTCTTTCTTTTCAATACCAAAGCCATTTTTTAAACAACATCAATTATGACTCACCTGTATGAATAAGCTGGTAAAACAAAATGTACAGTCCGGTTATCACTGAGCGTCCTTCCGTAGACCAATGAGATAATGTGAGGCCCATGGGAACAGGTTTCGAGACCATGTCTTCTAGCACACGCTGTCAGTTCAGCCACGTCTCGAGGCTCCAACAGCTTGCCACCCAGTCGCATGTCTTTTACACATTGGAGGTCTATGAATCTGAAATGAAAGAAAGTTTGTGAAGATGTATTTGTGTATGTTTGTGAACCAGTCACATCAGAACGGCTGAAGGTACCGTGATGCAATTTAGAACATTTAAATTGCTGATGGCTAATTGGTGACTTGTTCGTGCGTGGGCTGAGCACCGCCGTGCCCTGATGGAAGTGATCGGCGATGGCGACCTCTCGCGTCCGGGCCTAGTGCAGGCCATGTTGCGGAGCGAGGGGGACTGGGATGCCGTCTCCTCCTTTTGCGAAGCAGTCATGCTAGCTAAAGAGGAGGCGGGACGCGTCCTCGCAACCCAGCCATCGCGAAGGACACATCGGGCGTCGGGGATCGCGGGACGATCTCCGGCACTGTAAGCGCGGGCCTGCGGACGGTGAGCACGGGTGGCTCGCCACCCAACCAGAATCAGACCCGAGCGTACGGCGCTTCAAGTTCCGCGCGCCTCCAAGAGCCATCAGACCACCACGGATGGGGCACAATAGGGCTGATGCCGATACGGAGTCGCGGAAAACGTAACGGGTTACTGGGGCTTCGGCTCGAAGTGCAGGAGTAGAGAACATCCACTTTTCACTATATATGTTATGAGTCCCATGTAATAGGGGGTGAGCATATTGCCATATACCGGGCACAATTCCAAACTCCATGCTACTACTCAAAATTTTTAAAAAAACCCGGTGTTACTTTGCCCGGCCTGGGAATCGAAACCGAGACCCGAGGCCAACGAGACAGTCATAAAAGTTAAATATAAAAACTAACTTTTAAGTCCCATATATCCGCAACGTGCAAGAAAGCTGCAGACATCTATAAACAGCTATCACGAGCGGCAAAGGTGACATGGGGTCTAAACGGCGAGATAACGAGAACGATCTACGTCGCGGTCATTGAGCCAATTGTGCTTTACGCTGCGAATGTATGGGCCCCAGTGACGGAGCTGCAGTTGATTAAAAAACAACTAAATGCTCTCCAAAGGGGATTCGCACAAAAGATCTGTAGAGCATATCGCACAGTGTCGCTCACGTCAGCAACAGTTTTGTCAGGTACAATCCCACTTGACCTAAGAATTCAGGAGAGTGCCAGTTTGTATCGAACCAAAAGGGGATTCTCTTTGGACTATCTGCCACCGGGAGGGGAGCTCGAGAGAGATGTGCCTTACCTGGACCAGCCACATCCCTCAAAGCTAATTTCAGTAAATTATGAGCTCCTGGAGAATGACGGCTCGGGATCTCCTCTCGCCAGCGTAGTTGCCGGTCCTCATATATATACAGATGGCAGCAGAATCGATGGAGGAGTCGGTTCTGCCTTAAGTTGGTGGGAGGGGGGCCGCGAGACGGCGTTTTCCACTTTTAGTCTGGACTCTTCCTGCACAGTTTTTCAATCCGAACTGTATGCACTGAATAGAGCCACCAAAATGGTGAAAGACAGTAAAGAGAGTAGAGTAAATATCATGAGTGACTCTAGATCCTCCCTCGATGTCTTAAAAAATCCCAAGGTGAGCCACCAGTTAGCCAAAGAAATAAAACAGTGTATTGAAAACATCAGAGAGCAGGGAAGAGAGGTTCGATTTTACTGGTTGAGAGCCCATGTTGGAACGGTTGGAAACGAGAGAGCAGATGAATTGGCTAAAGCCGCTGCCAAAACAAAAGACAACACCACGACAGGCTACTGTAAAGTGCCCATGTCTTATGTCAAAAAGAAAATCAGAGATGAAACCATCCGAAAGTGGCAGGATAGATATACAACCTCCACTACTGGGCAGGTAACTAAATCGTTTCTCCCGGACATAATAGAGGCATATCGATTAGTGAGATCGACAAAGTTGACACCTGCCCAAGTGCAAGCGTTGACTGGACATGGAGGAATCGCTGAGTACCTGCACCGATTTAAACTAACAGAAAGTGCAGGTTGCGAATGCGATCCAACTATCAGTGAGTCTGTATGGCATATCATTCTCGACTGTCCTCGTTTCCTGGCCGCCAGAACCAACCTAGAACATCGGATCGATGCAAGCTTGGATCCTGCTAAACTGAGTTCTATTTTGGCTGACAAAGCGAAAAGACCGCACTTCCTAGACTACATAGATAAAATTTTTCGCAGGGCGGCTGAAAGAAACAGCACCCTCAATAACAGGAGCCAAGCAGTGGTCAGCTTGGACAACCCGTCTAATTCCGCTGTAGCAGTGAGCGGGGTTCCCCTTGAAACGACGGCTGATCCGCGGATTACAATTAAGGAGCGGGAAATTCTCCTTTACGGTGAGCACGGTACCAAAGGAATACGTATTCGGGGAGTTGCTTTGTTCATGAGCACCAGCAGCGAAAGACTGGGGATCGCTTTCTGCAATACCGCTCACCAGAAATGGCTCACAATCTCGCCAGGCCTTGCCTCCCTGTTAAATGGCAGCACTTTCAAAACAAGCATGAGGCGCAAACTCTATGAAGCACTGCCAGAAACAAAGCTGGTCGGTCAAAGCTGTCGATTGTTGCGGACGCGCAATAAAACAATCGCAATGTTTTCTGGCAACAATACGACAAACTGTTTTGAACAAGCATGCAAGGTGCTGACCAGTATAGGTAAGTGGGGTAAAGTAGAGGGCATAGATCCTAGAGTTATCAGCGTGGATGCTGCTGTGGTGGCTTTCCGGCGGGGAGAGACAGCGGATCTCATGGGCTGTATTCAAGCTTCAGAACAGCATGAAGTCATTGTTTATGAGGACAGGGGTGAAGACCTTAGTTTCCTCAGAAAAAAGGTCCAAAGTTCACCAATCGCTGGCTCTTCAAGTGGTTCGGAGCGTCTGCAGCACAGGTATTCGGAACAAAGTGCTCTACAGCAACAACAACGAAACATCGAAAGACAAATAAAAAAACAAACTTCACGGACCAACATGTGGGCAATAACATCAGCCATATGTACAGCTGCGGGTCTCATTTCGTCGACTTTCAGAAGGAGTGAATCCGGCTCCACTCGCGGGGGAGGCGACAGTGCTCGGGTCACCGCCAACCAAAGCCGCCATGGGTCACGTCTCTCCGCCGAAGTTTCGCCATGCCACCACTCCCAGAGACCACCTCATAAACGCCTTCCTCGAGTTTGTCGCAGTAATAGAGGCAACAAAACAAGTTAACTTGCGAACTTGCAAAACGATCCTGCAGACATATCTGCAGGGTAACGAGCTGTTACTGAATGATAGACTCGAGGCTGCGGAGGCGGTCATATACGACAACAGTAAATCGAGAGTATTGAGAGGAGCTTCTATAAGTCGTAGTATGGCAGCTTACAACGCCACCGCAGGATTTGTGTCTCTGGATGAGAAGGAATCGGATAAACGGGGAGTTGTGAAATTTAAAACTCCTCCTGAAGACTCCTTAGTGGTAGTTGCCGGGTGCACCAGGATCATGTTAGAGGATCGGATCTTGGAAATGGTGGGATCCATTTCGGAGCCTGGGCCGGGCGGCGTGGACTTTGGGGGCTGGGATGCCCCGACATTTCACTGGACAAATGGAGTGCCGGGATGCGGCAAAACTACATGGATAATAAACAAATTCGAAGCGGAAAGAGATTTAATCGTCACCACAACTACTGAAGCAGCAAATGACCTCAGAGGCAAACTATCCTGCCGAATCGGAGGATTAGTCAAATCCAAAGTCCGAACAATGGCATCCATTTTAGTGAACGGATTAAAAGAGCAAGAGAGCTGCCACCGAATCATGGTTGATGAGGCTCTCATGAATCACTTTGGGGCCATTGTGATGGCGGCCCGAGTAACTCGGGCCAAAGAAGTTCTGCTGATTGGTGACATAAATCAACTTCCCTTCATTGACCGAGACAACCTCTTCCCCCTCATTTACAGCCGCCCTACACACGTCGTGGCTATTAGCCAAGAACTTCTCTGCACTCACAGAAACCCTATGGATGTGGCATATGCTCTCAGTACTGTGTACAGTGGCATATATTCGTCCGCGTCGGGTGTGAGATCCCTTGAGTTAAAAAGCTTCTCAGGGTCGCGAATACCCAAATCTCCTCCGAACACGTTATACCTGGTACACACTCAGGTAGAAAAGGAATCCCTTAAAAACCAGGGATACGGATCGGGTGTGGGATCACGCGTACTCACAATACACGAGGCTCAGGGGCTTTCGTACGCGGCAGTGGTTGTTGTGAATGCAGAGGAGAAGAAACAGCGGATACACGACAGTGTATCGCACGCCGTGGTAGCTATATCCCGTCACACTAACAGCTGTGTTTACTACACGAATATCAGTGACGACGCGATCAGCAAATTAATCAGACGAGCGGTGGGTGAGAGTGAGCGGGGGATCCTGGACTATAACTTGAAAATGGCTATCAGCAACAGGGACATGGCCGTAGTGGGCGCTCTTTTGGGTGGGGAGGGCTCGCTGTAAGCTTGAATTGTGATGCAAGCGTGACATTAATATATATTTGTGTGTGTTTAATAATGTTAAAATGTAGTGAATATAATGTAACGTAATGTAAATTTTATCAATAAGACTGACAAAATACATTGGCACTACTGGAATCGGCTTACTGCTGCGTGAGCAGACGTCATGCATTCTTAAATGTTCTACAGTCGGTGGCGCTGTGGACTGGGTCGCTCCGTTCCCTACGAAATGGTTGATCGGAACGATTGCTGGCCCTCACGTCATGCTCGTGAACGGGCGCCTTCTGCTGGAGCAGGTCGGCTCGCTCATCGCGCGTGTGGGCCGATCCAGTAAGGTTAATGTAAATGTAATAAAACATGTATTGTGTATATATAGATATTAGACACAACCTTCTTTGTGGAAAAAAAAAATGTGGTTAATGTAGCACGTAAGATTTTTGTAACAATTAATTTTGACTGTAAATTAAAAGATAATGTAATGGAATGACAAGGGCACGGACAAGAGTCCGTGGAGAATAAGAAATGTAATATTTAAAAAAAAAAAAAAAAAATATAAAAACTAGCGGACTCGACAGACGTTGTCCTGTAACAATAGGTATAGATAAATAACCTAGAAACCGACTGCAGCGCCATCTGCCGGGCTAGTTTGTGAATCTAAACCATTCCCAAATCCCCTTGAACACACACTAAAAATTCATCAAAATCGGTCCAGTCGTTTGAGAGAAGTTCAGTGACACTTACAGAAGAATTATATAGAGATGAACCCGTTTCCCGTTGGTCACGCCATATCTTGAGAACGGCTAGACCGATTTGGCTAATTTTTTTTGTTGTGTTTATTATTATCAGGAGAAGGTTCTTATGACAGAAAAACGTCCTGAAAATCCTACGGAGGACACGGGGTTGAGCGTACGAAGTCGCGGGCAGAGTATTGTACATACATAACATCACGCCTTTTTATCCCCGAAGGGGTAGGCAGAGGTGCACATTTCGGCACTTAATGCTACTGTACAATGTAACACCCACTTTTCAATATTTATGTTATAAGTCCCATGTAATAGGGGGTGAGCCTATTGCCATATACCGGGCACATTTCCAGACTCCGTGCTACTACTGAGATTTTATAAAAACTCAGTAATACTTTGCCCGACCCGGGAATCGAACCCGAGACCCCTTGCCCGGCAGTCGCACTTGCGACCACTCGGCTAACGAGGCAGAGTATTGTAAAGGTTATAAAAACATTAAATTAATATTCTCACCCTTCTTCGCCTACGATTCCAGCTTCATTTTCGTGCGCTAAATTCGCTGTGTATTTTAGTGGTATGACTTCTTCAGGGTTATATGATAGACTCACTTCAGGCTGTGTCATGTTTTCAGAAGGGGTTTCGCCTGAAAAATATTAAAAACAGTGTTTCAGTGTTGATGTTGATTATTTATTTATTTATTCTTTAATGTACATAATTTGTTTATGGTACATAAGGCGAACTTAATGCCATATGGCATTCTCTACCAGTCAACCTTAGGGTTTAAGTAGAAAATCTGCGAAAACTTATTATCATCATCATCAATAGCCTATAAATGCCCACTGCTGAGCAAAGCCTCTTCACACACGGAGTAGGTTTGAGCATCAATCACTACGCTTGCACAATGCGGGTTGGCGATTACAAACTTATAATTAGAAATTATAAGCCCAGGTTTCCTCACGATGTTTTTCTTCACCGTTTGTCAGTGGTGTGTAAATAATCTTAGAAAGTATATATAACTCGGAAAAAGTCACATTGGTACTTGCCGTTGGTAGGTTTCGAGCCCGCACCCTCATGCATGAGATGCGTCTTAAATCTCCGGACTATTATAAGTTTGAAATCGCCAACCCGCATTGAGCAAGCGTGGTGATTAATGCTCTAACCTTCTCCGTGTGAGAAAGGCTTTGCTCAGCAGTTTATAGGCTGTTGATGATGATGATGAGCCTATTGCCCTATACAAGGCACATTTCTAGACTCCGTGCTACTACTAATGATGTAGATGCCTAATTTTTATTTTTATGTCCGACTGGTAGATTATTTTAAATCATTACACACGTATTTTTATTTTTACAGAAACGAATACTTTCGACGATATATTGATTTGAAATGTCGCGTGACGTCACTTCTATGTACATTTTATACGTAGAAATGACGTTTTAGCCCCCACTCCTAAACTTTGATTCGTTTTATCTAAGTAATGTTTTATTATACGACAAAATAAAAAAATACGTGTCTAATATTTTTTCATTACCTAACTTACGGACTAATTAGATTTTTTATTTTCATACCCTGTTATCATTCCAATTTTCATTCTGCTATTTGAACAACTTACCATGTTGCGCATGTGGTTGATGCGCAGTCCTACACCAGGCGAGCAGTGCGCATGCGCGTTCCAGCCGCAGCTGTGCTAGTGTGCCTCCCCACTCCGCTTCTGTCACTACACACGCCGTACCATGGTGCATTATCTGAAATTAAACATTTTATTTATTTATTTATTAAATTCATATTGCACAATTTAGAGGTACATACATATATTATAAAGTATTACATACAATTAATTAAGTACATTGCCCTGTTAGGGCGCAGCAATTTAAAACTTTACAAATTTTGTGTCAGCCGAAATTTATCTATTTTTCAGTATCAAAGTCAAATTCAAAGCATTTATTTCAATTATTCCTAAATTGCCTCGACTTGACTACCTCGTTGGCCGAGTGGTCGCAAGTGCGACTGCCGGCCAAGGGGTCGATTTCCGGGTCGGACAAAGTATTACTCGGTTTTTAAAAATCTCACTAGTAGCACGGAGTCTGGAATTGTACCCGGTATATGGCAATAGGCTCACCCCCTATTACATGGGACTCATAACATAAATAGTGAAAAGTGGGTGTTACTTTTGTGTGCACCTCTGCCTTTCTTTTCGGGGATAAAAGGCGTGATGTTATGTTATTCATATGAGTAACCCGCGATTTTTTAGTTATTTTCAAATTCAAATTTGAATTTGAATTTTAGTACTAGCTTTTACCCGCGGCTTCGCTTGCGTCACAAAAGGTTAAAAAATAGCCTATGTGACAAATACCAATACACACAGGGCCATCTATACCAATAATTTCGTTTTCCCTCGAGAATATCTTTTTTTTCCGGGATAAAAAGTACCCTATTATTTAATCCGGAGTTCTAACTTTACGTCTGCAAAAATTCAAAGCAATCGGTCTAGTAGTTACGGCGTGAAAGCGGAACAAACAAACAAACAAACTCACTTTTCGATTTATAATATTATTAGTAAGGATAGTAAGGATGTCTCACGATAGTTATTATAAAAACCTTTATTTTTGTTGAAATCGATTAATTAAAAAAAAAAGCATATATACGGTCGAATTGAGAACCTCCTCCTTTTTTTGAAGTCGGTTAAAAATAAATACAATTTTTACAAACTCACCTGTAAAATATGTCGGTCCATTCGCTCCCCATTTTGTGGTGCCAATGGAAACATGGTGACGCCGTGATCATGTGGTAACGGCTGGACGGGACAGTACCCTGTCCCTTCCAGCTCATACAGGGCCTCGTTCTCGAAGTCCCCGTTGGTTTTGGAGGTGGAATGCGAGAAGACCGGCTCTTCGCATGTTAGCATTGCTGCTCTGAGGGATAGAAGTTGGAGTTAGGGTGTGATTCTGGTGGTATAATGGTGTGGTGGGAAGGCATTATCTTTGATGTTTTTCAATTTTCTTTGGCAACATAACTGGCTAGTTTCTGCTTAAGTACCTGTTTGTCTATTTTTCTAATTTCTAAATCAAAGCCTTTGAAATTTCTGTGGATTACACAAAGAATTTATGTGTGGGTTAGCCATGCTTCGGCACGAATGGGCCGGCTCAACCGGAGTGATACCACGGCCGAGCACAAAACTGACGTGAGATAACACTTGCGTTGTGTTTCGTCGTGTGAGTGAGGTTGCCGGAGGCCCAATTACTCCCCCCTCCCCAGTTTCTCCAATCGCCGAATCCCCCAAAATCCTCAATTCCCAATTCTCAAAAGGCTGGTAATGCACTTGTAACGCATCTGGTTTCATGTGCCCATGGGCGATGCCGATTGCTTACCATCAAGTGATCCATCTAGTCTATTACCGGCTTATCCTATAAAAAAACTTCCATGTGGTGTTTCTATGACAATATTGTTGTTTATGTCTTTATTTTTTCTTCTCTTTTCACTTTGTAAGTTTTATTTAATTTTTTTGTGTTTAGTTATAATCAATTGTGTTTTTTATGTCTTGGCAATAATGCTAAGGACCGCACGGTTGGTATAGTGGCTGGGTAACTGGCCTCCGCGCGACGTGTCGCGGGTTCGATTCCCGCACGAAACAATTCATTGTGTGATCAACAGATTGTTGTACCGGGACTGGGTGTCATGTGTAGATGCCTAAGTTTTATTTTAATGTCCGTCTTGTAGATTATTTTAAAACTTTAGACACGTATATTTATTTTCTTACAGAAACGAATACTTTCGACGATATATTGATTTGAAATGTCGCGTGACGTCACTTCTATGTACAATTTATACGTAGAAATGACGTTTAAGCCCCACTCCTAAACTTTGATTCGTTTTATCTAAGTAGTGTTTTATTATACGACAAAATAAAAATATACGTGTCTAATATTTTTTCATTACTTAATTGACGGACTAATTAGATCAATATTTAATTTTCATACCCAGTCATCATCCCAATTATGTTTAGTCAAAGGTTTAAAGTACAATATGAGTTATTTTAAGTTTGACTCGCATTGTACACTAGTTTTCCATTAAAAAATAAGTTTTAACAAAAAAATATCACCTTAGAAAATCACCGAAAATGGGTGCATTGCTCCTCGCTAATGCATAATGATGCTGGTGGAAGCTGGCTATGTGGTCCATCACCGCCTGTGTCCGGTAGACTTTCTCCAAATTGACCAGACCCTCGGGTCCTACTCGCCGCCAGCCTGGAGTCTGCTCCCCTTCCTCGTCAAATGATGCTATGTACTGGAACCGAAATATGATGTTTTCGATTTAGGGGTTGGCTGAGGTAGTTCGATTCTCGGGTCAGGCAAAGAATTAACGGGTTTCTTTTTAAAAAAATCTCAGTAGTAGCACGGTGTCTGGAATTATGACCGGTGCAATGTCCGGTATTATACTATATATCGGGCACAATTCCGAGCTCCGTGCTACAAATGAGATTTTTTTAAAAACCCAGTAATACTTTGCCCTACCCGGGAATCGAACCCGAGACCATGCCCGGCAGTCGCACTTGCGACCACTCGGCCAACAAGGCAGTCTAATTTTAACTCTTTGAGTACCGTCATTATAGACACAATTAAAGAACAATAGGTTGCGGTCACCGGTGTCCTCACGGTGTTTGACAGTTTAACTCGTTGAGTACCGTATTTATAGACACAATTAAAGAACAATAGGTTGTGGTCACCGATGTCCTCGCGGTGTTTGACAGTTTAACTCGTCGAGTACCGTCATTATAGACACAATTAAAGAACAATAGGTAGCGGTCACCGGTGTCCGCTTGGTGTTTGACAGTTTAAACCATATTCCAACAATAATAAGATAACTTACCACTTGTTTATTTGAGTCTGTTAATCTTGAGTCCCTCTTGCAACTATCCCTCATAGGGCTTGTAGTTGTACTCTGGTCCATTCGTTTCCCACTCTCTCTTCTTGTGTCCCTTTTTAATGACCCTCTGGTGAAAGAGATACAAGAGTGTTAGATTACTGTGCTGTATCCTCGTCACCAGCTGGAATATTTTTACTTCTAAAAATGGCTTCCTTTTTATCAGGCCTATCAAGCTTAGCGGAAGACTTGGATTCAAAGTCAAAGCATTTATTTCAATTAAACCATAGTTTGGTACTTTTGAAACGTCAACAAATACAAAATAAATAATAGTCTGTCAGTCAGTCCGTCAGTGAAACTAGGTGAAGCTAGGTGCTCATTCCAAAAAGTAGATTCGAATGGAGAAGAACGAGCAAGAAACTCCATCGTAGCTCCAGCGTATCGGAGCTCCAGCGTAGTCTAAGATGGCCTTGGTGACAGTCCATACCTGGACTATGGCTTGCTCTATATAAGATGGTTTGTCAGGTAGATAGAAGTTAAAAAGATTCAGGTCTATCAGTGAGTAAATCTGCCCAGTCTTATGTCAAACTAGCTTTTACCCGCGGCTTCGCTCGCGTCACAAAAGGATTAAAAGTAGCCTATGTGACATATATCAATACAAACAGCGCCATCTATACCAATAATTTCGTTTTCCCTAGAGAATATCAAATTTTTCCGGGATAAAAATTACCCTATTATTTAATCCAGACTTCTAACTTCACGTCTGCAATCGGTTTAGTAGTTACGGCGTGAAAGTGGAACAAACAAACAAACAAACTCACTTTCCGATTTATAATATTAGTAAGGATAGGGATGGTGAAGTCCCTTAATCGGGTATATGACAACCGCGGGAAGGGTAATGGTGGCAAATATTTTTCTTTGCTTTCATCACCTGAGGGCTTACTCTTGTATCCATTTTCGGTCGTTCGACATTGGTATTGTGAAATTTCGTACTCTTGAGTTGTAATACTAGCGCCCATCATCAATAACCTTTAAATGCCCACTGCTGAGCAAAGCCTCTTCTCACACGGAGAAGGTTTGAGCATTAATCACCACGCTTGCGGGTTGGCGATTACAAACTTATAATTAGACATTATAAGCCCAGGTTTCCTCACGATGTTTTCCTTCACCGTTTGTCAGTGGTGTCTAAATAATCTTAGAAAGTACATATAACTCGGAAAAAGTCACATTGGTACTTGCCGTTGGTAGGTTTCGAACCCGAACCCTCATGGATGAGAAACGGGCGTCTTAAACCTCCGGGCCACCACGACATTCCGGGCCATCACGGCATATACTAGCGCCCATTACATCCGTATTGCGTGGATATTGAATGAACTTGAGTATTGAGTTTGACTTTATATTCCGTACTCTGAATGCTATTTTAACAGCTACGATTGTGGTTGTATAGTGTTGACATTGAATAGTACTGGAGATTTTTTTTTCTGTATTGACATTGAGATTGGTTTCAAGAGTAAGCACTCCGGTATGAATAAAAATGTTATGTATTCTTATGTTTACCTGTCATCCTTCATAGAATCTCGTTTGAACTCCCTTCTGTGTGTCGGCGTCCCTCCTACTGAGTGACTGCCCGTTAGAGAGGGAGACGCTGCGAGGATTTCTCTGAGGAAAAATATAGAAGTATTTTATTAACATCATGCACCTATCGGCCACATTCTGTCCACTGTTTCACACAGATAGGAATTTCTATTCTATTCCTATCCTATAACTGTTCACACAGATAATAGGGTTCCCCCTATGACATTCTGCATAGCTACGTATCTGTACAAAAAATAATCTACGATTATAACATAACATCACACCTTTTTATCCCCGAAGGGGTAGGCAGGGAATCGAACCCGAGACTCCTTGCCTGGCAGGCTAAGTGGTCACTAGTGCGACTGCTGGGCAAGGGATCTCGGGTTCGATTCCCGGGTCAGGCAAAGTATTATTAGGTTTTTTAAAAAACTCTCAATAGTAGCACGGAGTCTCGATTTGTGCCCGGTATATGGCAATAGGCTTTTGTCCTATATCTCTACATGGGACTCATAACATAAATAGTAAAAAGTGGGTGTTACATTGTACAGTGGCATTAAGTGCCGAAATGTGCACCTCTGCCTACCTTTCGCGGATAAAGAGGCGTGATATTTTGTAATGTTATATTTATATATATGCAGAAACCATTTCGGTAACTTGTATAATTAAAAAACAACACACACTGCCAATGAAGCGAAATGAGGATGATTCACATTTATATAGAGTTGATAATACCACTGAAAGATTTTAACAACCAACTGTAATTTAAAATATGTGAATCCATTTTTTTTAAGGGGGACAATTATCGAATGACTCTCCCGCCTGGGTGAGGCGGAAGGGAGTGTCAGACTCTTACTGACTAAAAACCACCCCGTTCCTTCTCCTGCACGTCGAGCCGGAGCCCCGGTTACCCGTTAGGTTCTCCGCGACTCCGTATCGACATCAGCCCTATTGGGCCCCATCCGTGGTGGTCTGATGGGTCTTTAAGGTGCGCGTGGAATGCGACGCGCCGTACGCTCGGGACTCTCGACTTAGTTGGCGCAATAACTGACGCCTGAATACTGAATCACTGAGACTGATGAATCATCTGCACTGAGAGCCGGACTCTCAGTGCAGGAGAAGGAACGGGGTGGTATTTAGTCAGTAAGAGTCTGAGACTCCCTCCCGCCTCACCTAGGCGGCAAAAGTCATTCAATGATTTTACCCCCTTAAAAAAAACTAAGTCGAGAGAAATAAATCTTTTGATTACATTGACGTAACTAAAAATTTATTCAAAAGAGGTATAGAGAGGTAGAGAGAGCTCGCCTTTTGGCTGTGGGTGAGTGGGAGTCGGGGTTATGGCTTCTTGCTTTACCTTCGTCTAACCTAGGTACTTTGTTGGACGACACCACGTTCCGCGCTGCAATTTGTTTAAGGCTTGGAGCTTCATTTTGTTCACCTCATCGTTGTCGTTGTGGTGAAGTTGTCAACAGCCTTGGACACCACGGCTTGTCATGTAGCCGTAGTGCGGGCTGTTTTGCTCGACACGCAAGTATTAATGACATAATTCGTCGAGCTCTTGCCTCCGTTGGCGTGCCAGCTACTTTAGAACCTAATGGCTTGGTACGCGACGATGGCAAGAGACCCGACGGTATGTCATTATTCCCTTGGAAGATGGGTAGGGCTTTAGTATGCGACGCCACTTGCGTTGATACTCTGGCGCCATCCCATCTTCCAAGCTCAGCGTGTCGAGCCGGTGCTGCCGCTGCCGCTGCCGAGAACCTCAAACGGCAAAAGTATAATAGCCTGATTGGCAATTATGCTTTCGAACCGTTTGGGGTTGAAACTTTAGGGCCGTGGGGCCCAAGTGCACATCTTCTTTACAAAGATATTGTAAGGAGGATGGTTGACACTTCAGGTGATCGAAGGGCTGGCTACTACCTTGGGCAAAGGTTAAGCATTGCCATTCAACGTGGCAATGCTGCCAGTCTTTTGGGCACCCTACCTCACGGTAGCGATGAGGAAAATATTTTCTTTGATGCCTTATAATTGTTTTTTTCATTATTATTATTTTTTCATTAGGTATTATTATTTTTTCATTATTATTATTTTTTCATTATTATTATTTTTTAAGGTGTAAATATTTTAGTTTTAATTATACTTTTTCTGACATATAAAAAAAAAAAATTAAAAAAAAAGAGGTATTATCAACTCTATACAATATTCATATTTAATTAACTAGTAATTTAAAAATAGGTTATGCGAAACCAATTCAGTAATTAATTCATGAAGTCAAATTAAATTTTATTAATAATCTGTTTCAGTTTTTCAGTTGTTATATTAATTTGTTATTGCTGAAAATGGTCAATTACCAGAATGTCTTTTTCGAAAATTTACATCTACTGTCTAATGGATGGAGTGATCACATGTTTTTGTTTATGAAGTTGTAGCTTTGGTTTTTGAATAAGGCAATAATTTTGTTCAGTTTCTCATTTTAAATTTTTATCAACACCATGGATGTATTGCATATATATAAATATATTTTATGTATATTTTTTTGACTGCCTCGTTGGCCTAATGGTCGCAAGTGTGTGCATCGTGTCTGTGTACCTCTGCCTACCCCTTCAGTGATAAAAGGCGTGATGGTTGTATTCGTATGCATAAAGGGTTGTGGGTAAGTGTGGAAGAGCCATGCTTCGGTACGAATGGGACGGCTCGACCGGAGTGATACCACGGACGAGCAGAAAACCGACGTGAAACAACGCTTGCGTTGTGTTTCGTCGCATGAATGAGGTTACTGGAGGCCCAGTTACCCCACTGCCCTTCCCTAATCTCCCCAATCCATGAATCCCCAACGATCCTCAAACTCCTAATCTCCAATAAGCCGGTAACGCACTTGTAACGCCTCTGGTGTTCCAGGTGTCCATGGGCGACGCCGATTGCTTACCATCTGGTTATCCGACTCCTCGTTTACCGGTATATGCTATAAGAAAAGTCATAAAAATCTCACCTTAGTTCCCGTAAAAAGGCCCCAAAAAAAGGTATTAGTCGGCACTCAGGCATAGCCAGCGCTCTGCCCAGTGCCCTCTCATACTCGGCTGATAACAGAGCCGCTGATAAGAAGTCTAACGCTGGCAGCGATTCGTCTGATATGCTGAACCAGAAGGACTTCAGTTTGTGTGATCTGAAACGAAAAATAAAATAATTATTATACTACTATTAGTCACAAGACACTTTGAAACGAGCGCCTAGTTTCACTAACAGACAGACGGACGTACAATTATATATATGTCGTTTCAATTTTGCCTAATTGAGGATATGTCTAAAGGCAAGTACATACTGGGCGCTCGGCGTTGCGTTGAGCGCGCGTTGGTCGCGTACACACACATACATATCTATTTGATGGACCGACGTTTGACGACAATCTCGGCTGGTGGTAAGCAATGACGCAGTCTACGATGGAGCACGTCGTCCCATAAGCAATAACTCCTCTGTGTCCACCGCTTTGAATAACGGTCTTGGGTGTTTGTAAGGTAATGGACAGCTATGGCGATAGAGTTGACCTTCATGTTGACAGCTTAAGTAAGCTAAGAAGAACTTTGCTAAAATATCTTCCATGGCTAATTTGATCGATTCCCTTGTTGACGGAAGGGGCGGCTCTCACATGGCATCTATTATTTTGAATTACTTTGTACTCAGATTAATTTAAATTGTTGATTTAAAGTTGTTTACTCTTGTCGTCCTTGTACAACCTTTTTATGCATGTGGTGTTTACCTTTAAGTGATTGTAACACTAAAGTATGTATCTATTGCCTGTTACCTAATATTTCATTTAGTATGTACAAATTTATTGTTGGTGAACCAATAAATAAATAATAAAAAAAATAAGCGACCCATTCACTCGGGCCTTGAAGACACCCAGGAAACCTTCAGGAAACAGAGACTCTGGCAAAGAATTCCATTCCTTAGCAGTACGTACAAGGAAGCTTGAAGCGAAGCGCTTCGTGCGTGTGGGTGGGACATCTACCATGAATGGGTGACGCTTCGCTGATTGTCTTGTAGTACGATGATGGAAAGGACTAGAGGGGATTAAGTTGTGCAAGGATTAATTTAAATAAATGCTTTGACTTTGACGTCTAGTTCTGAATGTATACATTCATTCATACTACTATTGTTTTCAGTGGTAGTTTTGTTTTTGTGGCATATGGAGGTAGACGAATAGACGGATTGATTGATGGTAGGCTATCAGTTCAGCTATATACAAGGTGTAGTTTTGAAGCCGTGTCATTTCTCGGGGGCATGTCACAGAAGTCATAAAGGTTCAATGTAAGAGAAAGTTTCGGGCCAATAGTTAAAAATACGGCTATAATAAATCGTTCAAGTTCGACAGTATTTCAGAATAAGCGACAGCAATGTTTCTTATTGGAGTTTTATGGAATTAGGAATAATATCAATTACGTGATTGAGTTTGTGTGTGTTAAGCCGCGTTATAATTCCGTGGTGCCGTGGTGACCCTGAGGACAAAAACGCCCGCTTTTCATGCACGAGGGTGCGGGTTCGAATCCTACCACCGGCAAGAACCAATGTGACTTTTCCGAGTTATATGTACTTTCTAAGATTATTTAGACACCACTGACAAACAGTGAACAAAACCATCATGAGGAAACCTGAACTTATAATTGCTAATTATGAGTTTGTAATCGCCAACCCGCTATAAGAAAGCGTGGTTATTAATGCTTAAACCGTCTCCGTGTGAGAAGAGACCTTTGGTCAACAGTGGCCACTTATAGACTGTTGATGTGAAGCTATCAGCGCTGCCTATTGGCAACCGCAACACCAGAAGGGGAGTTAGTGAAGATAGCGGCGCATTTTTAAATGTAACTTAACTTACGGCCTGCCTGATGATAAGCGGATACCGTAGTCTACTGGAGTGATACCATGACCTCACGGTACACCGACGTGAAACAACGCTTGCGTAGTATTTCGCCGTGTGAGTTATGCAACATGAGGCTTAACCCTCCCAAAAAAGCCTTGACTTGTAATTTTGCTACGGTTTCGTAGTACGCGTAGCAGCTACGATAGCTACGCCGTAGTACATCTTTTAAAACTTATTGTCGCGAGGTTCACTGTCCAGTGACACATGTACACTGGTATCGTCATGAGCTAATGTTCATATGTAAACAGTGACTCGTGTAGTGTAGATGTCCAGTCAACTGATGGTAGCGAGGTTCACTGTCCAGTGACACACGTAGGTACGCTGGTATCGTCGTGAGCTAATGTTCACATGTAAACAGTGACTCGTGTAGTGTAGATGTCCAGTCAACTGATGGTAGCGAGGTTCACTGTCCAGTGACACACGTACGCTGGTATCGTCATGAGCTAATGTTCACATGTAAACAGTGACTCGTGTAGTGTAGATGTCCAGTCAACTGATGGTAGCGAGGTTCACTGTCCAGTGACACACGTAGGTACGCTGGTATCGTCGTGAGCTAATGTTCACATGTAAACAGTGACTCGTGTAGTGTAGATGTCCAGTCAACTGATGGTAGCGAGGTTCACTGTCCAGTGACACGTACGCTGGTATCGTCATGAGCTAATTTCATATGTAAACAGTGACTCGTGTAGTGTAGATGTCCAGTCAACTGATGGTAGCGAGGTTCACTGTCCAGTGACACATGTACGCTGGTATCGTCATGAGCTAATGTTCACATGTAAACATTGGCTCGTGTAGTATAGATGTCCAGTCAACTGATGGTAGCGAGGTTCGCTGTCCAGTGACACACGTACGCTGGTATCGTCATGAGCTAATGTTCACATGTAAACAGTGACTCGTGTAGTGTAGATTTCCAGTCAACTGATGGTAGCGAGGTTCGCTGTCCAGTGACACACGTACGCTGGTATCGTCATGAGCTAATGTTCACATGTAAACAGTGACTCGTTGTAGTGTAGATGTCCAGTCAACTGATGGTAGCGAGGTTCCTGTCAGTGACACATGTACGCTGGTATCGTCATGAGCTAATGTTCACATGTAAACAGTCAGTGACTCGTGTAGTGTAGATGTCCAGTCAACTGACGGTAGCGAGGTTCATTGTCCAGTGACACACGTACGCTGGTATCGTCATGAGCTTATGTTCACATGTAAACAGTGACTCGTGTAGTGTAGATGTCCAGTCAACTGATGGTAGCGAGGCCTAGTGACCACGTACGTGGTATCGTCATAAGCAATGTTCACATGTAACAGTGGACTGTATAGTGTAGATTCCAGTCAACTGATGGTTAGCGAGGTTCGCTGTCCAGTGACACACGTACGCTGGTATCGTCATGAGCTAATGTTCACATGTAAACAGTGACTCGTGTAGTGTAGATGTCAGTCATGATGGTAGCGAGGTTCACTGTCCAGTGACACACGTACGCTGGTATCGTCATGAGCTAATGTTCACATGTAACAGGGTCGTTGTAGTGTAGATGTCCTGTCAACTGATGGTAGCGAGGTTCACTGTCAGTGAACACGTACGCTGGTATCGTCATGAGCTAATGTTCACATGTAAACAGTGATCGTGTAGTGTAGATGTCAGTCAACTGATGGTAGCGAGGTTCACTGTCCGTGACACATGTATACGCTGGTATCGTCATAAGCCAATGTTCACATGTAAACAGTGAGTGTAGTGTAGATGTCAGTCAACTGATGGTAGCGAGGTTCGCTGTCCAGTGACACACGTACGCTGGTATCGTCATGAGCTAATGTTCACATGTAAACAGTGACTCGTGTAGTGTAGATGTCCAGTCAACTGATGGTAGCGAGGTTCACTGTCCAGTGACACACGTACGCTGGTATCGTCATGAGCTAATGTTCACATGTAAACAGTGGCTCGTGTAGTGTAGATGTCCTGTCAACTGATGGTAGCGAGGTTCACTGTCCAGTGACACACGTACGCTGGTATCGTCATGAGCTAATGTTCACATGTAAACAGTGACTCGTGTAGTGTAGATGTCCAGTCAACTGATGGTAGCGAGGTTCACTGTCCAGTGACACATGTACGCTGGTATCGTCATAAGCCAATGTTCACATGTAAACAGTGACTCGTATAGTGTAGATTTCCAGTCAACTGATGGTAGCGAGGTTCGCTGTCCAGTGACACACGTACGCTGGTATCGTCATGAGCTAATGTTCACATGTAAACAGTGACTCGTGTAGTGTAGATGTCCAGTCAACTGATGGTAGCGAGGTTCACTGTCAGTGACACACGTACGCTGGTATCGTCATGAGCTAATGTTCACATGTAAACAGTGGCTCGTGTAGTGTAGATGTCCTGTCAACTGATGGTAGCGAGGTTCACTGTCCAGTGACACACGTACGCTGGTATCGTCATGAGCTAATAGAATAGAATAGAATAGAATAGAAAACTTTTATTTCAGACCGGAGTCCATAATTAGGGTTAGTAACAATTTTAACTTAAATTCTAGTGTTAGTAGGTTACATGAATTAAATTTCGGCATGGAGCCGTATCCACCTTCCCCACATCGGGGAATCCCACTGATCTACGAATACACTGAGAATGCTGTTGGTGCCGCCACGAACGCGAGCCATCAGGGACGCACATCTTTTTCTAATGATGGCGGAAAAACTATCAATATTATTATCTGCAAACATCCCTGACGCACTACATCGCCATGGCAGCCGCAGCAGCACCCTCAGTGCATTATTATACTGAACGCGCAGGTCGCTGTAGGCCCGCCGAGTGAAGCCGACCCACAGGCTGCACGTGTAAAAAGACTGACAATAGGCTTTGAAAAGGGTAACTTTAACCGGCTTCGTACAGCGCGCAAACCTGCGGGCCAGCATGTTGCAACGGACCGCCAGCGACCTACGTTCCCTTTCAATGTCACAATTGTCTTTAAGGTCTTCAGTGACCCAGTGGCCTAGATATTTAAATTTGTCCACCCTTCTCAGTGGTTCTCCACAAAGTGCTACGTCTGGGATACATGGATAAGTCAGACTGCCAGCTTTAAAAACCATTAGTTCGCTCTTAGTGACATTATATTTGAGCCCATGATTCACCGCATAGTCTTCACAAACAGCAATCAGTCGCCTCAGAGCACCGATTGATGGGCTCATCAACACCATGTCGTCTGCGTAGCTAATATTGTTAATGCACACCCCGTCAATATGACATCCAACATTGG